ATTGTCACCTTCTCCAGATGGCACTGCTTGGTAAACCCCACCAGCTTCCTCCGCCCACCATGGCTGGGCCACAAGACCTTGTGCACAGAGCTTATCAAGTCACCCTCTCAACTGAAGTTCAAATGGTCATGTATTTCTGTAGATCATGCACAGATTCACAACCCAACATTTATACAAGCTACTTTTTCCTCCTCTCAGAGCCTCTGAAGCTTTCAAGAAAAGCTGAAAGCTGAAAGACAAAAGGAGATGGGAGAAGGAGGTTAGCAGGTCAGCTGGCACTGATGAACGCTTAAGACTGAATACAATTAAGAATCTTTATAATATGATAACAAATGTTCAACTGCAAAAAGCTATCCCGTTTATTTTTGTCAGAGAGGAACCTGATGATAGAGCTGCAAATGATTTGTCTTATGGTGGTATTCTCCCCTCAAGTTAAAGCGTCTCCAATACATCCAAGTCAAAGATATCCTAAAAGCAAGTAGTCCTTGATCACCAAGTGATATATTTATTCTGTGGTATCCAGCATTCTCTGAAGTAGAATGGAGCATTTAATCTAAAGGTTATAAACTCACACTGTGTACTTTGAGATAGCAATAAAGGATTCTACAAGTCTTGTAACAATTAAGCTAGCATTATCTTTATTTTTATTTGAAAGATCATCTCTTTTCAAAGAATTAATGCCATTTGTAAAGAATAGGTCAATATCAATACTTTGGAACAGATACAGCTCCCAGTAATAATCAGTTTAAAAGAGGCAGCCTTTAACACACACAGCTAATACAAGATCACTTATAAATTCCTACCTGTACTCTTGGTTTTCCAAATATATATATAAATTCACACACTGATCCTTTAGTTTAGGAAGTTTTAAATTCCGTAATAAATCCATTACTTTGAATCAATTTAAAATGAGAGTATCAAAATGAGAGTATCAAAAGTTTCACAGCACTGATAAGATTTAACTAACAGAACACTCCATGTAACTGAAGACAACTGTGTACGATGTTCACAGATGAAGATACTAAATGGGTAAGTTGCTACTTGCTATTTGTTAGTGGTCAACACCTAACAACCAGCAACAGCTTATGTTCCTAAAAGAATGTAAAGTGGAGCCATATGCTTGTAGGAATCAGTTCTCTCTCCCTCAGTTAAGACAATACACTAAAGATTTGGTATTACTCTCAGTGCTATGCCATAGCACTGCATACAATCATAGAAAAAGTTCTTCTAGTGCCAGGTTAAATGCTCTAGCACTGCTCCCAGACACTGTTGATATACTAGGGTGGCTGAGGGTTGGCCAGTGGCTGGCATCCCCAGTTACTTTGCTCCAGGAAAATTAGACCAAATCAGCTCGAACACGGCATGACCTTCCCAGAGGAAGTTCAAGACGTATGCTCATAATAAGGTTTTAGATCACAAAAAAAAACAAACCCAAACCCAACAGGCCTCACTGATATTTGTTCCATTTTATATGCATCTAAAGACATTAAAGCATAGCTACTGTTAAAGTGCATATCAACACTTACCAGTGTACTGTTTCCAGTGGAGACTATTACAGCACTGCAGTCAGGAGGGTCAGTGATTCGTGAAAACGAGAGTCTTATGACATAGGTTACCTCACATTGTCTTATTTTCATTACTATGGATTTCACCAGAACTCTGCAAATATTTTTTTTAAAGTATGTTGTTGCTATACATGCACTTTCAGAGAGTCTAGATGACTTCTCTTATGTAAGGGGCCATTAAGATACCATAAGGTAAGAAAGAAGACTAAAAAGAAGGTATGTTGTTTTACATAATCAACACAAGAGTTTTATTCTGTGTTAAAATTAGAAAATAATACATATCTAGGACATTTTAAAGTTTTTGTACCTTGAACTGCTTATTTTAAAATCTGTTAGTATATTTAATCTGCTTAGGACTCCAGGGTGTGCATTCTCCAGCTATCAACAGAGCAAGTATTAAATATGGAACTTAAATCTTCTTTCATGCTCACCTCAGAAGCAGCATTTCAAAACAATTCTGGAGCCTTCTGCTTTTGTTATTTCTTTTAAAGAACTTCTTAAAACCAGAACATAAATACATGTGTATATGTTTACATACACGCACTGTAGGGGTAACCAAGCATTTGATATACCTGAAGGACGGGATGCCATCCAGAGGAACCTGGAAGAGCTCAAGAAGTGGGCACGAGGGAATCACACGAGATTTAACAAGACCAAGTACAAGGTGCTTCACCCGGTTTGGGGCAACCTCCAGTATCAATACAGGCTGGGGAATGAAGGGATTGAGAGCACCCTGCTGAGAAGGTTTGGGGTGTTGGTGGATGAGAGTCTGGACATGTTTGGGGCTGCATCCAAAGCAGCGTGGCCAGATGGCTGAGGGAGGGGATTCTGCCTGTCTACTCTGCTCTCCTGAGATCCCACCTTGAGTACTGATCCAGGTCCGAGTTGCTCAGCACAGGAAGGACACTGACGTACTAGAGCAAGTCCAGAGGAAGGCCACAAGGTGATCAGAGGCACGTAGCACCTCTCCTATGAGGAAAGACTGAGAGGTTAGGGTTGTTTAGCCTGGAAAAGAGAAGGCTTCAGGGTGACCTGATTGCATCCTTCCAGTATCTGAAGGGAGCCTACAAGAAAGATGGACTTTCTACAAGGGCCTATAGTGGAAGGGGGAATGCTCAAGGCCAGGATGGATGTGGCTTTTAACAACATGGTTTAGTGGGAGGTGTCCCTGCCCATTGTGGCAGGGGCAGGGTGAGAAATAGATGATCTTTAATGTACTCTTTAACGTTCCCTTCCTTTGGAATTGGAAGCCTTTCTACAATTCCATGAAATGAAACCGAACTAAAACAAAGTCAATCATGTTTTCATACCCCGTACCTCCTCTACAGAAGAAAAAAAGATACACATCTTCCCAGAAGGATTTATGTAGACTACCCTATCTGTGTGTTTAGCCTCCCTGCAAAAATACCAGTTGCTCAACTGTTGCTTGTTTGAGACAACATTTTTATGTAATATGGTAGAAGAAACAGAAGTCAGCACTGCGACCAAGAGGCTTGCCACTGATTTAAGATGGGAAGTGCTAGAGGAGAGTGCTATCAGTTTTAAAGTAAATCAAAGCACATAACAATAAGAGCATGCCTAGAGAGAGTGTGCTGCCATGGATAGCCCTGATAATGTAAAAAAACTACCAGCTTTCTCCTGGCAAATAAATTCTTTCTTAGTACTTCTAAATTAGGGAAGGTTCTTGACCAGGGCTTTTTAAACTCGCTTTCATATGTATTTGCTGTTTATGTAAATAAGGTGCTGGACTACAGTCACCACTCCTCTGCTTAGAACAGTTTCTACAATAAGAAAGCAAGATGGAGAGTAAGTCTGTTAACATCAATCATACCCTAAATACTAAATTATTAAACATATTTATCTTTCAGGTTCTGAGCACAAGTCCTTTGGGTCTTACTTACAAAAGAGAAGTCAGTCCTTTCATAAGTTGAAGCATTTTTGCTAAGTAAAAGTTTCTTTCAGCACTATCATTTTTTCCCCCATCACCAATACTACAGCTCTTCTGTTCTAAAAAATCCCAAACCAACAAATAAAGGTTTTAACAAGTTATACCCCAAAACAAATAAACTAAGACTGTATTAGAGATTATTATTAATATTCAATAAGGGAAGCCTCACTACAGTATTTGATCCACTATGCAACAGCTCACTACGATGAGAGTTGAGATATCAATTAAGGAAAATAAGCAAATATTTTTGGTTTTATCATTTCAATTTTAATACAATTTAAAAAAAAGTAAATGTTATGCATGGTAATGTTTATTAAACAATCACATTTCATTTAAGCATTAAAATGCAGCAGTCTGGAAAAGCTGCCAGAAACAATGTTTGGCTTCAGAAAAGGCGATTATGAAATTACTTCCAATAAAATTCAAATACTCTCTTGTCTGTTGATTAGTTGAATGCTTTAGACTGGAAGGAACAAAAAGTGCAAATCAGCTGAATGTTACTTTCAAAAGTAAAGTCTTAGTGTCCTACAAGCAGTTACTAAAAGGCCTCACCTCAATCTTCATGATAAAGGACAAAGTTCTCCAATTCATATATAATTTACTGCAACATTTCAAGCAATGCAACATTATTACTAAAACAAAATAATCTTAAAATATGACTGCAATATTCTGCCTACCACAAGCACCTCTTTTTCCTTTTCTTTAAATTCTAATTTGCTTGACATGAGATGGCATGAAATACATTCTTACTGCAAAACTGGAAACTTACATGGAACAATGCAGTTAAACCACTTATAGGAACATGTTCTAACCTCAGGTAACATACCCAAATACACTCGTTTACATGAAAATCTAATATTCATATTCTGGTATTCTGCTTCTGCTGATAACACTTTGAGTAAAGTGACTCATCACAGAGTAGGCAAATATTGACCTGCAGTTGAGCCTTTTGTGCATCGTCTTTATTGAAGAACTTGTAAAGAAATGGACTAAGGTAATGTCGTGGTTTTTATCTGAACCCATGACAGGTAAATAGAAAACATTCGATACATGGGCAAATTTTAAGCATTTAAAAATCAATTTCTTTTTTTAAATCCAATACAATGATTCAGTAGCAGTTTGAAATAAAAACAGAGTACACCTTTCTGGCTCCTAAATCACTTCAGAATGATTTCATATACGGAGATAATGAAAACCACTGTGATTATCATCTTATAAAGGCTGTAAGAATACACTAGCAATTTTCACTTTGTTCTTGTAAAAATCTTTTAAAACATTGCGGAAACATGTTCTTATATGTGGGTACTGCTGCTTGAAACTGAACAGTTGGTTGACATCCAGACAACTATTACAATTTTGCAAAAGCAAAGCAGCTTATAAGCATAATAAACAAATGGTCATTTTGCTAAAATTGAGACCTAATTTAGTAATTTGTAGAATGACACTTTCAAACTGAGCAACACAAAATAATGTAGCCAACAGTAACATACAGGTACACCATTTAATATTTATTATATGCATTTTATATACATTATTTTTCAACAGCTGTACTTTTGCTATGTGGTACAATCTTAAAAATTTGCTGATTCATAGTTTGTAAAACAGAAACCTTACAAAACTCATCAAAACTCGCAAACTGATCAGAAAAGTTTTGTGGAAGACTAGAAAAAATACTTCTTTGTATTAATCATGCATTACACAAACAAAATTTTTAGTTACACCATAAACTGAAGCACATCTGGAAAATAAAATAAAAGCAGGGAATAACTAGTCAAAACACAGCAGATTTATGAATCTTGAATCAACTACTTTTGTATTCTATTTGAAATGTAAATAAAAATAATTTTCACTCCAAAGGTTCTGAAACAAGATTGGTTTTTTGGAGTCAACTCCACTCCAAGTACTTAACCAGATGTAAAAGAATTTCTTGATTCGCAACTTTAGGATTATCAAATGTCCCGTTTTCTCATCTATTTTAGACTGTTCAAAGAGTGCCATAACAGATATACAGGGCCCTTTAACACACTACATAAAAGGATATAAAGACCAACAAAAAGTGAAATAAATAACAATAGGCCATTAGCAAGATGGGTAATCCTTGATAAATAAACTCGTAAATACAGTAAGATGTACAAAATATCACATAGTGATAGGATGCCAAGATTAACTTTTTTTTTTTTAAGAGTTCATTCGGGGGTGTTAACCCCTCTGTGTTTCATTTGAACACATTTTACAGTCCTTTATTTATGAAGACAGTTATGCGATGATGAATTAGCATCCTTAAGCAAGGACTTAGCTGAGCTGTATTAGGCAAAAGAAGGGAAGAGTGTGGTTACACAGCAGCGGGTCAGTGAGATCTCTGTGTTTTAGGGTTCTATAATGCAGAAAAACATTATCAATACAATCTTGAGCACTGTTGTGACAGGCTAAATATATAAAAAGACTTATAAAAACTAGAATTTTATCCAAACATTTTGTGCAACTAATGCTAAAATATTTTAAGTTAAATTTCCTTTTCTTTAAAGCAAAATAAAAGTTTAAAAGGGGAATCTGTGGCATTCAACTGATAAACAGAAGATTACTAAGAGATGAAAAGAAAGCTACTCTTGGAGCTCACTTCCCTCCACAAGAGCACCACATTCCTAACCCTAAGGCAGCACACAGAGTCCAAAATAAAAATCTTTTGTAAGATCAGACTCCACGTTTGCTTAAAGACACCTAAAGAACAGACATACGCTCAGTTCATATCCAGTCAAGGCTACAAATACTGGTTTTCTTTTTTGTATTTGTCCCCACCCCCCCAAATACAGTAATTACAGTTAAATGAATGAGCCTGACATTGTTCAAGATGTGGTGACTTTTCACCAACTTATACCTGCCCCACTTAAGAGCCTTCACCCAGGCAGATCAGATGTAGTGTCTTATTGGTAACCTTATAATTGATGGCAGTGACGCATTCCCTCTTTTTTGTCCAAACAGACCTGCTGTTATGATGCAGGTTTGTTCTGCTATGTCACACGAATACTTTGGCAAGGGCATCAGCTCCTGCACTGGCAATATATGCTTTTGACGGATGAAATGCTACATCATAAATTGATTCATCCAGCTTTTTCCTATGAGCTGTTATTTCTTGCACACATGTCTTGCTGTCCAAATTCCATAACCTAATGGAACAATCATGGCCTGTTTTGGAAAAAAAAAAGACAAAAGGCAAAGTTATATTTGTCAGACACTTCAGTGCATCATAAATGCATAGAGTAAATAGAATATGAAAAAAAAAATCCCTTACTTCCAGACATTAAATAGATTCCATTAGGATCTACAGCTAGACTTGTGACAGCATCCAAGTGAGCAACCATAGAATGGATCATTTTACCTAAAAGCAAAATGAACAGTAAATCTCCTGTGAAGTATTGTTTATTAAAAAAAAAAAAAAAAAAACTCATTAAATGCAATATAGGATAACATGCTTATTTATATTCCAGTAATATCTGAATGATACTATTCCATTAGAATTTAAGAAGTTTCAACTGCAGACTCTTGTATGGCCATAAGAGTAAATGACACACAACTCTCAAAAAGGCATTCCCAATGTAAGCAACCCTTTTATCCATCTGGCATCTTTACCGGTAGCAATGAAAACTAAGACCAAGACTAAAACGACTAGGTGAGAACCTCAATTTTTAGTCTGTTAAATGTTCTAACAACTGCCCCAGTAGGACAGAGCATTGACAAAGCTTTGCAAAACGAGACTTACTGAGCCTTACCAAAGATGCATCTATCTCTGTCATTGCTAGGAGATGCCATTGGTGATAAACCAGGAGGAGAATAAAAACAAGGCAACTCTAAGTGACACTTGTCCAAAATATCCCCCATCTTCTAGTAATTAACTGTTTAGCTATGCCACAAACCAAAGTGTTACCTCTGCATTCAACTACTCTTAATACATTTCTTTTCAGTGACTTCCATTCCTGGACTCTTAATAACATCTTTTTTTAGCATCTCATGATGCTTTTTGGAAGGAGTTCTCAAACGTTTACTGCACAGGAGAACCATCACCTCTTTCTGTTTGGAACCTATCATCTGCTGGGGGTTCACAAATGAACCTCAGTCCATGTATTGAAAAAGAGCAAATAAATCCCCATAAGACCATAACCAACACGAAGAAACTCTATCATCTTTTTCCAGTTGTGTGTCTTTCTGAAGCATCTCAGTCTATTTAGTTCCTAAGAGTCTGTGAAGAAGCTAAAAGCTACTGAAGATCTTTTAACCATTCCCTGAAGCATTTTAATTTGGCTATATCCCTTCTGAGATAAAGGAGACTTCATTCAAAGTATTCATCTAAAGGTAGTAAAAACAGCCTTCTTTCCTTTCTTTCCTCCAGATCCTTTTCTGTTTTATAAATTTAATCAACATCTTAAGTATAACACGATTCCATTAGTACAATGAATTTAGTGTTATTTCTTGCCCTAATAGATACTAAGCAATGTTCGTTACTCATAAAAGTTGGAAAACATAACTGATACATGCTTAGAGTTAAAATCATAGAAATTATAAAGAAAGAAAACAGCAGACATACTTATATAAATTAGGAAAGCTCTAAATTAAAGATAGCTTTCTTGTTCCTCACAACTATCTCTGCCTGTTTTGAGAGTGTTTTCGGACTGCTGAAGTCAAAACTGCAACAGATACTACTATTTCGTAAAAAAGGCACTGAAGGGGTTTATTCTTAGAAACACCAAAAGTTCTGTTTTGTGTAACACTACATCACCAGTAAGTTTCCTACACATGGATTCTCCCTACGTCCATCCAACTTTCTTTAAAAACATTCATACATAAAAATTAGGTTCTCTTCATCCTTACCCGTTTTGTTGTCAAAAAATTTGATGTGTCTATCTTCATGTGCTGTAATAGTTACAGGAAGTGTGGGATGACTTACTACCTTGTTAATATGATTATTTGATTGTACACCTGAAAATAAAAGAAAAAATATGCACCTGTCTTAAAGAAAGTGTTAAAATGAGAGTATTTCAGCATTACACTTTGGATTACGTATTTCTAATATCACATAAATAATATTTCAGGATCAAAGGATCCCCTAATAAATAAGTAATAGTTTCTTGCTTTACAGGATGGGGCTAAGTGAGGTAGACTCTAGGCAATGTACTGTAAGGTTAAAGCTGTACAAGTGCTTTACACACATGAAAGATTCTTGAGAGAAACAAACTGTAGCATCTGTAATATAAATTTATCCATATCACAGCAAAAACTATTTAGCTGGGGGTTGCAGGGGGGTAGGGGGGAAGACAGAATCATAGAATGGTTCAGGTTGTAAGGGATACCTTCCACTAGACCAGAGAATCCAAATAACCAAAATCAATCTAACCTATCAGCTTCTGTCAGAAATATTTATGTCTTTAATTTCGACCTAAACAATGAACGGTTTAAAATCTCTTCAGAAGTCTTTAGAAGACTTCTTAGGAAACACTTTCTTATCTTGATATCAGAGTGTTTTAAGGTTTGTTCCCTTAATTTCTGTGTTTAATTTTTCTTGATTCCATTTAGGAGTTTTCAAACTAGGAAACGTATTGCTTCAAATTACAATGTTCCTTCTCACTTCAATGCTAAGCTTTGCCACAGTTTTCTAAGCTGTATTGAAGTCTGTAAGTGTAACTATCAAGTAAACCAGACTACTTGGAGGGGAGATGCAAATTTTTCCCTTGCATTATTTTTTTAATTACATTTCACAGAAAGGAGTGACCATAAACCGGAAATTTTCCTTATGAAACACTTTCAGAAGTTCACAAAACGAAGTCGCCTCTATCTAGAGTTTCATCAGATACATACAATGAACTCTTGAAGAGCTACATCTTTCTAGCACCTTACTTGCAGCAACAGGATTCCTATAAAGTTTCATAGGAAAACATGTTTAATTTCAAGCTATACAGAATTCTACACTGAACTAATATTCTGTTTAATTCATCTATTTACCTATCTTAATATCCTCCATGTCAAGACTATGTAATCAAAAATGTGGATTGATACACAAATCAGACAACTGAATCTTAGGAAATCTTAGCTTAGAGACCAATAACTGCTGCTTTCACTACTTTCAAATCCAGCTAATCTACAGTCATAAAATGGCTTGAGTTGAAGGGACATTAAATACCATGTAGTTCCCACCCCATGTGACATAGGCAGGATCACCTTCTTCTACACCATGTTGCTCAGAGCCCCATCCAACCTGACCCTGAACACGCCCAGGGATGGGGCATCCACAACTTCTCTGGACAACCTGCTCCAGTGCCTCATCACCTGCACAGTAAAGAATTTCTTCCTAATATCAGATCTAAACCAACTCTCAGTTCGAAGCCATTCCCCATTGTGCTGCCACCACATGCCCTTTAATTAAGTTCCTCTCCATGCTTCCTGCGGGCCCTTTAGGTACTAAAAGGTCACAATAAGGTCTCCCAAGTACCTTCTCTTCTCCAGACTGAACAACCCCCACCCTCTCAGCCCATCTTCGCAGGAGAGGTGCTCCAGCCATGGGATGTTGGTGGCCCTGCTCTGGATTCGCTACAACAGGCCCACATCTTCCTTATGCCTGGGGCCCCAGAGACAGACGCAGCACTCCAGGCAGGGTCTCACGAGAGAGGAAGAGAAGAGCTGAATCACCTTTCATCATGCTAGTCTAGTCCGTCTTTAAGCATCTAACCATCTTTCAAACTGGATAATGCAGAAGAGAAGTAAACTTCTTTCATTTACCATATAATACTACAGGCACCTCAACCAAGATTGATATTTATTACAGAAGAGCTTTACTTACCAGATTCTATTTGTGATGAAAACATTACCACTGACTGGGATGTTTCTAAATCATAGATGACTGTGCTGCCAGTGTTAAAAGATGCCACCATATGAGCAGGGTCACAACCTATAAAGTCAACTGATGTAGGTATTCCGTGCTCTGGAAAGAGAGAAAAATATCTTTAAAAAGAATGAAGCACTTTTAAAATTTCTGACAGTTTAAACATTTAGTTTATTTTATACTCTTACTTTAAAGAAGAAATTTGCTCTTCTAAAGTAATGCTACAGCTACATTAAATAATGACTATTTCATGTTCTTCCTTTAGCTTTGTTACCTAATTTGGATAACTTGAGTTAATGAGCCTGGATGCATCATCAGCTGCCTCACAGCTGATTTTCAAAACCACTGCAAAAAGTTACCTTTCTCTCCATTGTAAGTGCAAATACAGGGAATTTTTTCTGGTGGGTTCCACAACCTAATAGTGCCATCTGCTGAACAAGAGAGTAAGTGATTCTTTACACCACTGTAAGCAAGACCCCAGACTGCATCTGTGTGAGCAATTAATGTGCCAGCTAGAACGTTTGGCTCTGGAAAAAAAAAAGTTCAGAAATGAAACTTTTAGTGAAGAAACATTAAATAAGTATTTCTTGTACCTACACATAAATTAAATTCCACATAAAACAGTCGTATATCCCACCTGCCCTTTCTGTTTAAGCAACAGTTAGAATATTACACAGGAGGTCTGTTTGCACACCCACTGCCATCTTTCTCAAAAAAACCCAAAACAACCAAACAGAAAAGCAAACAAAAATACTCAAACCACAAAACCCTACCAAACCAGACAACGAAAAAAACCCCACAAACAAATCAAACAACTACCTCTTTTTTTCCAGAATTATATACTCTTATTACCACTTCCTCTCTTATTTCTTCCTACCAAATTTAGCATCTTAAAGATGCGTGATAACAGCCCTTCCTCTGTAAAAAGTGCAAAAACATCTAGTAAAATCAGCTTTCCACCTAAACACTGATGCTTAATGCTGTTTTTACTCAACATACTCTGCTAACACAAGGGTATGTTCTAAAACTCTCAAGCACCCTAATAATTAAAACAAGATAATTTCTGCTGGGGACTTGAGAATCTTATTTTCATCTCCTTGATAATTTGTAGTTGTCTTTTATAGAGGGTTTTTAAATCTATTCTATACCAGGTTTTGAGTAGAGAAGTGGGAGAAAAAGACAAATGGAAAGGCATAAAGTGAGATAAATCACTAAAATTTAGTTTTGCAGAAAACTTAGAAAAAACAAGCTGGTCTTGCAACCCAAGAGCCTGCAAACAAGCTTTAGGAAGGAAAGCAGCCTATCAGAGCTTTCCCTTTTAACAGTAACTTTGTCACTTGAGTATAGATAGTTTTGTCTGAGGCCCATAAAAACTACATCATCAATCCTACCAGCATCAACAAATTGGACTGTATTGAATATATTTTCAGCAGAGAGGCACAACTGGAGAATATATTGGTTTTAAGGGACAGGGTGTAGGGCTTTTCCTGAACTGGTGCAAGACAGTACCCACTCCTCCTCTCACAGCCATAGATAATGCAGCCTGAGTGTTGTAGCAGACCATTCATTACACTGACACGATCACCATCAGTGGATGGAGAGTGATGCACAGTTATCAGCTATTTAATTTTAGAGACATCTAAAATTAAAGATATCTAAAGACAGGGAACAGAGATGCAAATCAGAAACACAGGACACAGAATTTGAGTATATTTGTCTTAGTTTTCTGGTAAAATTCTATCAGAATAAATAAATAACCATTCAAAAGTTGGAATTCGGCTTCAAAATTTTTGCTTCTCAAAAATGAAACTTATGATTAACTTTTTCTTACTATATAAATCTCAGGAATTGCTACGTCTCCCTATTACAGTTCTACACAAAGTATAGCACCAATTCAAGTGGGAACTTGTGGTAAACTAATGGGTAAACTAATGTTTACCACACATAAAAAGTTGAAAATATACAGTTTAGATGATAAAAGCACTAGAAACAGATTAACATCAAGTAGAAAATTAATTTTGAAGAAGAATGGTTGTAAGTTGTTTATGTTTTAAAAGGTACTTACCATAGGTATCATATGGATCCACATTAGGGCTGGGCATGTTCCACCACTGGATGGTTGCATCAACACCACCACTGAAACACTGTTCTCCATTGGAACTAATTGCCAATGACAATACAGGTCCACTGTGGGGAGAGAAAGAAAAAGAAGGTGATTGATACTGCCTACAGAATAGAAGTGAAAATTTGGCTATCAACTTTCAAAAAACATTTGGATTGGATTAAGCAGTTAAAACCCCTTTAAACTCCAAAGAAACAACACTATTAAAACATTTTAAGTCTCAACAAGTGATACCAGTCTCTATTAAAACAATCATAAGAAATTAACTAAAACTATGCAAATTGAAGCAACTCAAAGATCACCACCTTATTTCTCAGAACTAAGTACACCTACAAATGGTGGGGTTTTACAGTGCATCTATGCCAATCTCATACCTAGCTGTGCTGAAATCAGTGGCTGTAGTTGCCTCCCTGGCAATTATTTACTCAGCCTACATTTAGAAATGGAAAGTAACCTACACCCTTGTAAACCGGTTCAGAGAAATGATCCTAGAAATTGTACCTTTTGACAAAGGTGAAACTTCTACTGTTTTAAGTTCTTAAATCTGTTTGCTATGATACCAGATAAGCACAAGCTGCAGCCCAAAGGAAGAAACAGGGCTACTTTTTTGTACACACTACTAACACAGGTTTAACTGTACTGTAAAACCATATCCCCAAAATTAGATGCCTGGGTCATTTGACAGGCCATGCTCATGATATAAATAAGAACAGATAAGCAAACTAGAATTATATATTTGAAGATGTTGAAGACTATTGGCTGAATCCATCCATTTATTCGGCAAAGTGAAGAATGAAGACAGGCTGAAAGGTAATGCTTAATGCTTGCTTGAGAGGAAAAATAGTAAAATTACTTTGTTATGTCACACTGGAGCCACAGGGTGGGCATTAGCTCTGTATTGAAACTTGCCCAAACCTAACCTTCTGGTATTCACTAACAAATATCCAAATCATAGCCCAAATTTAGAGAGAGAAAGATCTGAAGGAGAATTCAACTGGTCAGCAACCCTCTATCACACACAAGAACATATTACAACATGAGGACAAATCAGTCATCCAATCCTGGGGCAGAGAGTCTTACACTTTAGTTAATAAACACAAAAGTAGCACATTATGTTCTATCACATGGTGTAAGGGAAGGAGGAGGGTGAGACAACAGAATGCATAGATGTCCTAATAAAACTACAAATTTATTTTCTTTTGTTGTTGTTGTTAAGGTCAGGACAAGAAGTGTTACCCACTTCTGTGCTTATCAAAACTCTTGTGAAGCTTACCTGCTAACCAGGTTGGAGACTGAATCTTTATTTACATAAGCAAAGTACACTCAAACTACTCTGGCTATCAACTGAGTATTTCTGTCTTGCCTTCTTATTGAAAGAAAGCAGAATTCATAATTAGCAAGTGAAACTCAGGCAGTAATAAAACAGTTAAAACAATTTGAAAAAAAATCACTAAAACTCAGACCTGTATCTGAAGGTACTAAGCAAGACACTAGTAACATCTATCTTATTAATGTTTTCCATATATGTAAGATCTGCAGTTCAAGACATGTCTCAGGTGATTTCATTATCATCATCTACAATCTCTCCTTTCCATTGTAGCTAATCACATTTGCCACTTTTTTTGTCTTGTGTTACCATGGACAGTGCAATTAATGACAGGGACTCAGTATTAACCTGTTTTGCAAAGGATAACGCACCTTGTCTCTACAATGTAAAAACAGATTTGTGGCTATTACACTGAAGTTTCTTACGAATACACGACAATAAATTTGTCAACCATGAATGATGTCAAACACTTACATGTGGGCCCTAAATGTGTAGATGGGTTCTACATCTAAAGAGGCACTCCTGAAAGAGAAAGAAAAGTTATTAATTACATGAAGCATCTACTGAAAAACTCTGAAAATATGAGTGTTTAATTGATTTCAAAGGCATTTAAAGCACAACTGATGTTTTATAAAAACCCATATACTTGCTTTTTGGCAGGAACTGTTTTCTGCAAATTCCAAAGTTTTAGAGTATGGTCCTCAGAGGCTGTAACCAGCACAGGCTCTACAGGATGAAAAGCTAATGCTCGCACTCCATCAAAATGACTGCGTAGCGTATACTTAGGGTTCCATGTCTTTCGGAAGGCATCTTTATTAGCTGGCAACTTAAAAGGAGAAGAGGAAAAGAGTAATTTTATCTTGGATTTAAAATTATGTAATATATATATATATATATATATATATATATATATATATATATATATATATATATATATATATATATATATATATCCCCTCATGTTTTAGGAAAACACGTTATGCTTGATTCAGCTAATACACATTTAATCTCAAGTTTACATTTATCTATTGATTTTTCCATATGCATACCTACAATCCCTGTCTGGCATGTAAGGTAGTCTGCAAATTTTTCTATTGTAATAAGTTTCCATTGCCCCAGACTGTAATGGAATATAATGTTAAATACACAGACAAGAAGCCTTGATTTTCAAAAATTGGTTTTAATGCACAACAATACTTTATTCTTCTTCCTTGAAGAAAGAGAAATTGTCATTGCTTATCATGTTGTCACCACCTCAGGAAGAGATGACAGCTGTCGAAAGCTCATTTATTATGTAAACACAATAAAAACAAATTTCAGGTGCTTAGTAAGTGCTCCTCCTCAGATGAGTGACTGAGATTGACCAGAAACATATGTAATTCTTGAATACCTCTACAGGTGAAGGTATGTACACAGAAACAGGTAACTGAAATTTCAAAACACATTTATCGTGATTTTAAATGTAACATTACATACAAATATTTTGAAGTCTTTAATGAATTTTAAATATATTTGTGAGACAATAACTTAACTGCTTTGTGAAGTAATATATGCAAACTCTACATTTATATATGTTGTGAACATCCAATTCATATTCTTAACCTACAGACTGCTAGGTTAAAATACAAAAACTACAGCTGCTTAATATTAATTATAGGTAACTCAGAAGAATTACCGGAAAACCTCAAGCCTTTCTAGTACTTTACAATTTAAATTTATGTAGAGAGTAGACCCTTAAAAGACTACATCCCATCCTAAGCCTCTAGCGTAAGGAGAAATACATGAACAGGTACTTCTCTCCCTAAAGGGATTTTAGAAAACTGACTATAATTAGAAAACCAAAATTAATAAACTAAGAATGAATGGTAGTTAATCTTATCCTCTGTCTTACTATCTATTCACTATGGAACTGTTAAAGCATGTTACTCAACTGAAGCCAGAATATCTCAACATCCCAAACTACTTTCAGCAACACTAATAAGAGACTAAAATCTCCCATAGCTAATAAAATCTTAGTACCTTATATCTATCAGGACTGAAAATAAAAATCAAATAATAGTGTAACATATACTGTAGTAAGTATTCTTGGACCAAATTTGTAACATGGACTGAATTACCACTACTCACTCAAACTAAATTCAGTTCTATCCAATCAAAACAAATAGGTTCAGACCATAAAATTTACTGTTGTGAGTTAAAGATGGGCAGACATTTGCTTTTCCCTTATATTATTGTAAATTTTTGTCCTAAGTGCAAACTTGACCAAATTCAGATCAAGCCACAGAAACTTGTTCTACCAGACATGCAACCTGAATTTTTAGGTTTTTTTTAATACCAATCAAAGAATACATATAACAAAACAGCATCATGTTTGCAATCTTCCTACTTCAGTTTACACTGAATTCTGCAATATTTTTACCGAGAATCAAGTTATTTAGCACTACACTGAATATTATATACAAGTTTCATAAAAAGAATAATCTTTTGTTTCAGGAAGCAGAACAGAGTGGAATTCTGGAGTTCTGCATTAAACTTAATAGATTTCAGACCAAACTGCCCATTATTAGCCTCCCCGAATGGCTAAGAGAAGGGGAAAAGAAAGAAAAGAAAAAAAAAATGGTACTTTTCTAGAAAATAGGAGTCCCTTGGTGTTTTTAATCCTCATTACATAAGGTATTCACTCATCTCACTAACTCATGCTGTCTCATGTAATTGCAGTGATCTGGGGCTTAGAGAAACAAATGCCAAAAATTTGAAATAGCAACGTTTAATTTTAGCACATGATATTATGTCCCAGATTATGCAGAAGACTTTCAGTTCTTTGGGTGCAATGTCCATCCAGATCACAATAACTTTTATTACAGTTGTGATGAAGAGTCATTCAATAAAACCGGGACTGAATATAGTGGCCCTTATTTTTCAAAATAGGAAGAGAGCTCATTAAATTTGTTGTTGTTGTTGTTAGAAGAGTTGTTGCAATGCTAATTTCCTTTTCAGAAGTAGAAGGGAATCTGCTAAAATGCAAGTTACAGAATTTACACAAGTTATGAAAAATAAGGTACATTTCCCATTTACATTTCCCATATACATTTCCAAGTATAGCTTTAAAGCCTTCAGGTTTTTAAAACAGACTGGAAATCTCAATTCCTTTAGAACACACTTGACTAGAAATCTCGTTATAAATAAATCAATTTTTTTTTTTAATTCTTTTCCCCCATTCGTGTTTCTAATGCATCTTGACATCCTTACTGCAAGACATCAACTGACACATCTTTAAAGAGATCCTTGCAACTCTAAGAAAAAGCTAACCTGTAGCATATTAAAACAAAACAAAACAAAACAAAACAAAAACAAACAACAAAAAAAGAAACCACCAAAAAAAAAATCCAAACGAAAAATCCAACCCCACCTCAGAAAAACACAGTCAAGGACTTGGAAAGGGGACTTGATGATTACAAAGGACAAATGTGAGATACAAAATGGGCCAGAGGTATAATGGAAAAGAAGTAAAATGTGATAATGTATATCCATGTTCTAAAGTGTGACACCTCAAGGTGTGATTGTGCTACAAATCCACAGTTATGAGGAAACAACTTCAGAAATTAAGAACTATCAAGGAATTTTCAACCTGAGAAAAACTGTAATGAAGAACTAACAGTATCTGAATTTAAGTCTCTTTCAAATCCAAGACAGGACAAAAATCTTCTTAACTACAAATAGAAAAAAATTCTTTCTGTCTTTTCTGACACATGAAGTCAGAAGCCACCATGTATTTTTACCTATGCTTTAAAAGATAGAAGATAACTCAAGAGCACTGGGAAAGGAGGACTGGACAGCAAGCAGGGAAACCAAGTGACAATTTTGGTCAATCACATCTTGTTTCTGTTTGGTGAATGGTCCAGTAAGAAAACAAAACCCTACTTCTATCTTTTGTCTCCTGTATGTGCCAGATATTAAGCCATGAAATAGCCTCTCTTTCCACCTACCTCCCAAACCAAGCTGAAATTAATGAGCCTCTATTATACAGTCTCTGAGAAAATTTTGAAAATTCAACTACATTGAACCAGTAAGATTTCTTCTTCTTCTACAGGATTACTAACACTTTCAAACTTTCAACTAATTCTGCTGCAAATTCCTTATTAGTTCAGGCAGTATTTCATACTTGTGTATTTATCATTTGTTCTCTGCTTTAAATTTCCACAGAGCAAAAGCAACTTCAGACTCTATTCTGCATCACACTTTGCACCATGGAAACTGTACCTGTCACAAGTATCACAGATTCTCATGTAACAGTTTGATCAGTTGATGTCAATTATAATATTCATGGTAACACTTCCTGAGTTTAGTGTTGGCTCACCTGTATATATTCCTCCATCTCAGAACAAGCAAAATGGCAATGCACTGTTTTATAAAGAATTCATACTTGACAAAAGACAGTAATATACTGCAGAGTTGCAATTTGCAGTCAAGCATGATGTATTCCTCAAAACTAATACTGCTCCTGAAAGTCTCTCACAGACCATCCTCTACTTCCCCTACACTACTACGATCCTTGAGGGAGACATCACAAATTTCTTCTTTTATATAAAGACATTCTCACAATCTCTCTAGCATGGATTTAGCATATATTTGCCATTATGGCATCAAAACATATTAATGATTGCATCCTTTTGATCCAAGATACATCTAGTTCAGCGTTGGTGTCTGACAAGAGCTAAAACCAACTAAAAATGTGGAAGAGAAAGTACAAAACCAGGGATGCTTCTCACTGTTCTTCCAGACTGCTATCACACTTCAACCAGGAACTTCTTGTTACCTTTAATTACTTGTTCCTAGTAATCCTCAACAGAGAGCTAATTGGAGAACAATGGAAAAATAATGATCTATAATAGAGATATAAAGTATTCTGCTAATATGGGAGTTGTACAGATACTGAAATTTATGCTATTAATTGTAATTGACAATAATTTTCATGATATTAAAAATAGTCAGCCAAGAAAGGAGCCATGCAAAATACAGTACTATAGACCAACATGAAGACTCACCCTACTAATTAGTCCATGCAAAGAAGCTGACTTGGGATTTTGGTGGGCAGAAGGAGAAAGTAGGGTGCTTAACAAATATTTCAGATTTTTAAAAGAAAAAAAGTATCGTAAAAATCTGTGGTTATAAACATGTGCCTTAAGAGCTAAATGCTGTCATGCTACCTTTATATATGTAATGAGGTTGCTAAGTGTGACCCAGCAGAACTTCACATTCCAAAGTTCTGAACTTGGGAATAGAACATATATAAAATTCAGTGCAACTACAACTTCTGATCTAATCTCACAATTGTAGCTGCCTCATTACTGAAAGTACACCATTTAGATTTCAGATGCCTCATATTTACTGTCAGTAAACAGGAACAACATTTAAGGAAAATACACCAATCAACTACGAAGTTCATAAGCATGATTTGAGATTTCAACCCGCTTTAAAATAAACGGTTTTACTTTTTTACATTAGCATTAAAACACCTTTTGTAATTCCTTGATAAACCTAGAGACAGGAGCATCTTAGAAGTTAGAACCAAAGAAAGAAAACACTGTGCAAAACAAGTTCCCAAACTATTCAACTTTGTAATTTCCAGGGGAATTTACTAATAGTTAGGAGTAGTAGTTAGGAACATCCAGTTCTGGATATTTCAGGTTTAAGCTGCCTTAAAGCATTTAGAATTGATGTTTTTGAACCTTTTTTTTTTTTTTTAATGTCACTCATTCATAGATTTCACTGAAACTTCAAAAGAGAAGTGGTAATTTTCTAAACAATTACACATGATCCTCAAGTCAGACACATTTTAGAAGTGATTACACAACAGGTTTAGCTGAATAGAAGGCAAAATACTGAGAAAGTTAAGATGCAAAGATCTGATATGTGATTTTCTACAAGTGTTATGTCATGTGAAACGAAACAGAACCTGAAAACTATTCTCTGCTGTGAACAGGATGATTTATTAAACAAATTTACAAAGTACTCAAAATATTTTAAAAAGGTCTTTCATTTATTTTTATACAGTGCAGAAATAGGATGGATAATTAACATTTTCATTTGTTTTTTTAGGAAATCAAACTATGTAACGTAACACCCCGCAATAATGGAGAAACCTAAGTATTAGCTCTTACTTCATTAGTGCAATTAATAATGCTACCCATTTTAAGTACCGAAAGACAACTATGATTAAAAAATAGGTGTGTAGTCACACACAATTATTTTCAGACCCTGTAAAAAGCTATAAACAATTTATTTCTTCACTTTGCAGATTCTCAGATATTAATAAAATTCTTAGTAATGGTTTCCAGTGCAAACACCATGTATCTGACTTCAAAAGTTAGAGAAACAGAGAGGTACCTTATCAACCGTAATTTAAGAAACTCCAACCCTCCGCTGTCAACCAAGCAAAAGAAAATCCCAACAAAATACAACCAACAAGCCAATACCGCAAGAGATTTTAAATACAATACCACATGCAAAACTTACCTGAACACTTCCCTAACCAGCCATTCAGTGTTACTAACCAATGAAAAATTCATGTGACATTATTAGTAGAAGCTTAACGAACACGGTCAAAGGAATGTTAGAACACCCTGGATTATAATAAAAGTACCCCATAAAAGCTTACATCTGAAATTTATTACACTATATATTCTATGCTGTTAACACTACATAATCACAAAAGGGACAGTAAAGAAGTAACTTAATATTACGCTTTACGCTGTCTTCTCAATACTCCATTTCAGTGTATAATTGCCATTTCTGTTCAAATTCACATTAAGACATCGCCACGAATCTTATGTCATAACATATTCTCCCAGAGACAAAAATCTCAATTAAATTATTTACACCGAAAAAACTATGTCATCTCACTCAACTCTGGTTTACCCAAATTACTTAACTCATTCACCAGATGCTCTGTCCTCCCTCCCAAGGAGTAGCTTTTGCTAATGAAACCTCTGTTCTCTGCATCTGTAATGTTCAGGGTGGAGGAGGGGGGACCCAACTATTATTGATTAAACTGTATAAAGAATTTTAAAATAAAATTGCACTTACATCATAACTATAGTCTGCATCATTTGTAACTGTCAAGTCTGCAAGGTCTCCAAGGCCCAGTACACTTAACAACACATCATCAGAACCCATAATAAATGACTTGCCTCCTCCAGGTGGAAACGTTATTGGTTCAGCTACAAAGAACAAAACAGTTTCTTTAAATCTCAAAGTAATAATTCAAACTGATGAAGAGCTACATTATTCATCATTTAACAGCAACGCAGAGTTTAAAACCAAATTTGTATGTACTACACACGGCCCCAACTAAAAAAAAAAAAAAGCATGAAGACACACACACATGTGCAAACACACACACATTATATACACAATTCTTATGTCATGCTTTGTCATTTGATTTCAACTTACTTTACACAAGTGTTCAATACTATTGACAAGTGACTTGACTGACGTTACTTTACATTGCAACACCAAGTGTACATCTCAGGTCTTCAAATTGTCAGCTAAGTAAGTATTTTATTCACTACGTGCTTCCTGCCTTCTATCCAAGTCTCTGTGCTTTATACTAGTCAAATATCTCTACTTCTGTATTTAAGTCTTTTTTATCTCTCGGGTGAAAGACTCCTGCAAACATCTCTTCTACTTTGAGTTTTTTCAGATGACTGAAAAAATGAAAACATCTATTATTCATTCATCTCTCAGAATCCAAAATTATACAGAGAAACTAATTTGAAGTACACTCAACTATTACTTATCTTGGCTAGCTAAGCCTTCCCCAAATTAAAATTTAACAATTCTGTTAATTATCATTTAGAATGAACAGAAGTTATATATAACCATTTATTAGAAATTCCCATCTGAATAATAACTTTTCAAATATTCTCCCATATTCTTTACACTCCTCAACAATTCTGTAAATCTCTGTCTACCCACAAATATCAATTCAGCAGTAAGGAACAGGAATGAAGGCTTATACATTGTAATGCTTCATCTTAACTTAGAAGCTGTTTTTACTACTCAGTATTCCTTTCCATTCAGAAATTGCAACACTTGTTAAATAGAGAATATAAAATTAGGCTATGTGTGAGCTAAGTACAAGCATCTGCAAAATATGTTAAATGACATTTGACATCTTGAAAATTTAAACTTGTTTGACTTTTGAATTTAACTGATCTGGCAGAGAGAGTTATGGTCTCACTTTAACACCATGCCTTGTTTCTCCTCCTCTCAGAAATCCCCTGAAACCTAGAGAACATAAAGCTTCCAGATGTGAAAAATATCCATATCTTGTTTCTTTGTCTTATAAAAGTGGTTCCAAACAAGAGGACTAACAATTAACATATTGCTGTTTTGAACACGCATCTTCACTATTTCATATTGCCTCTATCTGAACAGTACCCTAGTTCTGTTCCACTCTCATCCAAGAAAAGTAAGTAAGACCAGGTGTAAAGTCATGGCATCCTTGTTATGGCTACACAAAGAGGAGCCAGTCCATCTAGATCAAAAAATTCACCTCTAAGGAATAAAACAAGTTCTAATGCTTGAGAGTTACTGTGTTATTAAGAAGTAACCTTAATAGCACAGCCAACATAACTGGATGTGAGAATCTAAGAAGATAATCTATGTAAGAATAAAGACTGCTGTTCCTACAATTACATAAAAAGAGCAGATAGTACTCTAACTATGCACAATCACCTCTTTTTAATCCATACACAGGTCTTGACTCATGAGAATGCAACATTACATCAACAGCCCAAAGTGGCTTACCATGCCCTTTTATGAATAAGTTTTTCGTGTCCATTAATATTTTACTAAAACCCTCAATCTGACAGTCTATTGCATAGAAAGCCATATTCCTACAAAGTTTACTGTTACTCCTATTTGATCTTTAGGACAGGCCTACAAGGTTTAGGTAAGTCCCATAACTTGTCATACTAATTCTCTGTGAAATATACGTTATCTGACCTTAACAAATCAGCTTTTCTATGCTTTATACTAAAAATGAATCACTACCACATTAAGAGTTCATACTATAAATTCAGCAAGTCTTATTCGCATGATGTGAATATCTATTTAAAGTTTCAAAATTAATGCTATCCAAAATTTGGAAGAATATTTCTCAATACTAAAGTTTTCAATATGAATTTATAATATGTTGTGTAATTTAATTTATTTGCACATTTTATTATTTTAAAATAAGGCATATTTGAGAGGTTTAAAAATTGTTGCAAGATGCTTTTGTAAAAAAGGCAGAATAGTAACACAACGAATGATGCATGCTATAGCTACTAAAAATAAAGACCCAATCTCTGCATATCAAAAACAATCCATCAATAGATATGCAAATGATAGTTAAGAAATGACTTTTTAGTGTTTCTCATATTTAAAAAAATATCCAAGTATTTTTCTAACAAAAGATTACCCTCATAGCATAATATATATGTTTAATTGAGTTTGCAATCAATAAATATAAAGTAAAAATATGACACTACAAGTTTCTTTGAACGTAAAACTAGGTGAAATAAATATTGAAATATTAAAATATAAAATGGTATTAATAAATACTTGCTCAGCCAATCCTAACCAGCACTTCTGACCTTTAAGTTCTAGACATCATACACAATTAAGTAAAAATGAAGCAGCAACATTTGTACAGATTGAAACTGCTTTAATCTCTAATCAGATACATATGTTCTATAGGCTGCTGTTGTCTATTACATGACAGCAACATTTAATCTCGTTTTCCACAAAGTTAATACATGGTATACCAAAAGTAGCTGTTAAGACCCAAGCAATTAGCTGTTACTGCTTTATTCTGTCAATCTGTAGACTGACATCTCCACAACCTATAGATATTAAAAAGGAAAACAACCAGCGTTGAGAGCAATTCTCTGTAGAATACACTGGATGGTGAATCATGCTGCAGTTGAACCTGTTTCTGAAAGTCATGTAATATGTCAAAATGGAAACCCCACTTTCTCATGACCAAAACTATTAAGTCCAATTACAGCATAACAATTTTCTCACCATATCCAGCCAGGCACTTGAGAGTGGGAAAAAAAAGGCAACAAAAACCATCCATCCCCCCCCCCCTTTAGAAGCATAAAAGATCCATTCCCTGCCAGTTAGAATCAGTTCCTCCCTGACACCCCTTCAAGAAAAAAAAAAAAAAAAAGTAAGCTCAATAACACTTTCTCCTCTTGATGAAAACAGAATTATCAACAGCTACCTCAGAACTATAGTATTTCAAAGTGTAACATAAACCCTTCATACACTCACAAGAAAACTACGGCTTGGTAACATTTATCAGCATAGGCTGATGTGTCCCAGGAAGAAAGCCTAACGTTATCTGCACAAACTCGGCTTTTAAAACATATCTGAATAAAGGAGTAAGATCTGCATTTGTACCACACGGTGCAAAATCTGCATTTCATGATAATGAACTATTTGGCTTTGTAACACATCTAGAAGGAATTCAAACGCTGTTTGTTTGCAGCTTTGCACCACATGGTAAAAACAAACTCAAAAAGCCACATAGTATTCAGGATAAAAACAGCAAAAGTTATATTCTAATATTCAAGTTTAAAAGCTGTGCAGAAACCACAATTACCAGATAAGATGACAGAGATATTAATATTACTCCTCTTAAAGAAAAAAGCCCAAAACTACACCGACAAGTTGAAAACATATGGACACAATTAACAGCATGAAGATATCAACCTGAAAGCAATAACAACAGTTTATTTGAAAACAGTGTGAACAATCTTTATTTTAAGGGCAGCACAGTGTTTGTGCAGGCAATGCAAAACAGGTCCCTAGCAAATTCAAATTTGGCATCTATGTCTTCAGAAAGACCGTTTTGTCCAGTATTATATTAGATGCAAAGTTTTATGGCCTGTTCTTAACAACGAAGGTCCGTGTTCCTTTGCACAATATGTATGGCCAAAGAAAAACAGCCCAAGACAGACTGAAGAAATTGTAACTGTAGGGTCATGTGTCCTTCCTACCCTAACAAGGCAAAAAGGCAACTTAAAGCAGGTAAACACTAAACCTAAATAGAACCTCAGCATATGTCTACAAGTTTTAGCAAGTGGAACTTTTGACCAGTAGGTTTTCCAATTGCACTCCACAAGTAAATCGGATACTGGTTCATCTTTAAGTTGTAAATAAAAATAAAGATGAAAAGCAAGGCAGTAAAAGAGACTTTTGTAAAGTAACAGTTTGGGAGAGCAACAAAAAACTTCTTTGCAACATTTCAATTTTTCTGCATGCCTGGTGACAGGCATTTGTGGGGCCAAGGGTGAAGAAAGAGCCGGAGAACCAACAGATGACAAGGATCAGTAGTAACACAAATTCCACTTCTGGTATAGGTGCTACTATGCCAGGGCTTATGGGTCAAAGATCATCCTAAAGGACCCAAACCTGAATACATTAGAGTATTTTGAATAAATGTGTTCTGAGTAGAGGACAGAATTTACATATTTTAATCTCAAAGTCAATACAAGGAGAAGAATTCCTTTAAAACAACATACTTAAAAGCTAAATACAGGATTTTTGACTTTTTAGACAAAAGCATGCCACTAACTTCCATTGTCTAAGATAATCCTGAAATGGAACAAATACTTCATAAAGAAATAAACAGTGTCTTTACAAACTTGTAAATGTAGACCAAAAGAATTTTTAAAAAGAGAACATTAAACTTGAGGAAAAAGAGACAAATTAATCTTGTAACTTTAACCATCACTTTTCACTTTAAAATCCAAACTGTGCATCCAATGTTAACATTCACCTTTTTTCCCCTAAATAAATACAACCTATCTGTGAAAGGTGTTGCTAATGGGGGGGGGAGGGTGTCTGCAAACAGGGACTTAATAGTGAATAGTTTCATAACACACTGCTGTATATAAAGTTATTTTAAAATACTCATGAAATAATGGTGAGTTACGATAAACTACAGAAACTCAAGCCACAATCTCATAAAATCATTTGGGAAGAACTGCAAATAAAATAACGTGGCAATCTGCAATTTCATTAAGCTTTACAGAGGGGACAATAAATTACAGCGTGTGCTTTCTAAAAAAAAATCTCCTGAAATATAATAAGTAGCTGAATTTTTTGTACCTTCCTCTGCTCTTGCACCTTCATGATCAGGCATTCTAGAAGAGGGTGACCTAGATTGATTAATGATTCCTGAAGGGATGTGGGGTATCTCATCATCGCCCAGATCAGCTATCATGTCGTGAAGTTTTGTCCTGTTGACTCCTGTAAATTAATGTCAGCAGCAAAGATTCATTTGATTGCTACCGCTTGACTTGACTGAAGTCTAAAAATCCATTAAATAAGAATAATTACTGATGGGACCTCCTTAAAATAAATAGTGCTTTGCTTTTGTTTATTAATATTTCGGAAATCAAAAGGAGTTCATACATCAAATCTGAAAACTACATGCAAACAACTTCAATTCACTAAATCAAACAATGACAATGCTCCTTTGTGTTCTGTAGATCTAGTCTACAATTTCCTGCAGGAAAGAGAAAAAAAATCATCTTACAGCCCTACTGAAGTCAAGCCAAATATTAAAAGAGCATGAACTATTACACAAAAAACATATGAATTAAACATTTTCTAATAATATTACACAACTTTAACTATACTAAACAATTTAACACTGAAAAACAGAGTGCAAATTAAAAATATACTTAAAAATGAGGGCAAAAGTACAGACAACTCATAATGGGGGTGCAACGAACAATTAACTTTCCCTGCTTTTGAATGATACTTAAATTGCATAAAGTGTTTATTAAACATGAGAGCAAGAATACTTCCATCACTGTATGAAACTGCAAATGTATATTACCCTTATTATAAAAGCATGCCTCTAGAAACAAAGCATGTTGAATTATATGTGCATTTAATTATGCAGACACTAGTAAACAAGAATAGTATAATTTAAAATATTTTTAAATTACTAAATTAATTTCTGCTTCCACTTTTACAGCTTCCACATCAAAAAATCAAGCTTCAATCATAAAGTGTATTTCAGTGAGAGAATCCAGAATGATGAAGGACATAACCAACTTTTAACCAATAAAACAGCCTTTCCTGGGACCGTGAGAGAGATATTGTAAACCATTTAGTAAAGGAAGCATTAGGGAACAAGTTCTTATACTCTGAGATGAAATGTACCACTTTTATTAAAAAGGAAATGGAAACTAAAACAAAGCCTTTATTCTCAAAAAAGTAAAAGGTAAAGACTATAACAACAGATGACATCAAAAGCAGAGCTGTTCATTCAACAGTTAAACACTAAAACACACTCTTTCAAAAAGTATCTGATCGTTTCAGACCTCACCGGGTAAAGGTCAATGTGTTCAAAAATAAGTATCTAAAAAACATTGAATTCTCTGAAGATAATGGAGAATTCCCTGCAGATAGGATGACATCAAAAAGTATTTCCTGAGGTAGAATCATGGCAAGTATATCACACATACCCCTATATGACAATTCTCATCAATACTTGCAAAACATTTTCATTTTGCCACGTAATACAGAACTTTATATACACATTTTATATTTTTGTGCTTTTGATATTTTTTCTTTCCTTTATGGAACATTCAGTGTTCCAGTTAAATCTACAAAGGCTGATACCCAGAAACTGTTTGAGAATAAAAATGGCTTCCTAAAGTTTCCCTTCAGTAACAGATCACTTGAGTGGTTAAGTTTCATTCCACTCTCGTGTAGAAGTATATCTAGAAACCTGTGATCTCAGCTACTGAAGTGAATGCAAAATAATAAAAATGAGGAATGACTTTTTTGAACAAACCTTTTTTTTCTAATAGCCTAGGCTGATAGGATTTGATTTCAAAAGTACAATACTTGATTGTAGTCAGGAGGTAAGATCTCATATACAGAAGTCATGCTTAAAATGGACAGGTCTCTACCACACAGGTCACAAAGTTTGCTTTTGTCTTTATTCCAGATGGCCATCAGAGGTACCTACCATGACCGACAGCAGATATATTCTTGTAAAGAGAAATTGATAAATGATGTGATAAAAGTAATGACTGGTACCCTAAACTGTCTACTTTAATAAACCCTTTGCTGTTCAGAAAAAAAACACATTTGTCTTCTCCATGTTGATACACATGAACCGTTCAACACATTGATGCAAAATGCCAAAAATGGATATTACTCATATCTAAACTGAAAGGATCTTTTGGAGACAGTTTGTCTCAAAGCAAACTCAGAAGTAACTAGAAGTAGCGCCTGTGGTCTGCTACCTTAAAACAGCCATTCATTTAGTGTATCACTTATTAGGGGATGGACAGCCTTGCCTTAAATGTTTTCAGTAACTTTGGGCACTTCTTGTCCTTCAAGCGTCACTTTAGAACAGTCCTCAATCCATCATACAATACAGAGAGAAGCTTACAAGAGAGTAGATGCTGTTCTCACAACTTCTGTGTATTTCATGCCAAAAAATGTCAATATTCAAGATTGTGCCACCACTACAGAAGACTGCACAGATTTCTGCTTTCAAATAAGTGCAAGGGTACCTTCATATAACTGGTGAAGTATTTTAAATGTTACAAAAAGATTTTTAAAGAAAAGAATGAGCTGTCTCTGCATAAACAGCTATGCTCAAGGCACAAACTGGCTGTGTTTTACCCTCAAAAAAAAAAAGAGGAAAAAAATAAATCGGTAAACAAACCCATTATGAATGAAAGCAAAACATTTACAATATCATCTCAGTGTATTCTCCTTCAGAGGTCGAAAGGGAAAATGAGCATTCAGTGATGAAAAGTTGTAGTATGAGAAACCCTAAGCAGATTTCTATTAGCTCTGAAGTGTACTAGTCCAAGTTTGAATATAACATAGGGATCTTAAAAGGTGATGGTAATGAAGATGGTAAAATTCAGATCTATTTTCATGCCTATAACTATTACACTGTATTTCCAGAAATCAAGGCTAGCAAAGTGAGTGGGATGAATACTGTTTCATAAATACAGAACAATTACACTAAGAGAAAAGAGCAGGAAAGTAAAAACCTGTGACAAGCTTCAAGAAAACTAAGGAAAAACATTAGGAGTATTTTCACATCAACAGTGATGTGCACATACATTTTAAGATGTGAAAACTATTTTTCAAATTGCTGAGAACGCACTATGTTGACCTGATAGTAAAAAATGAGATATACAACACCTGCACATTATGTCCTGCAAATGTGACAGGCTATATCTGAAAAACACTCATCCCAATTTACCTGCCAAAACTGATCTTATCAAACTTGGAACTCTTCAATAAACAGCTTTTGCATTATTTTACAGGTGATATTATGAAGGCAATTTCAGTGTGGAGGAGTGGATTTTTGTTGCTGTTTTGGTGGGGTTTATAAAGATTGTTATAAAGAGGTAGTACTCCCACATAACATGGTGATTGTCATGACAGACACCCTTCTCCTCCCCACCAAAAAGAGAAACACGTGTGCTGACAGAACATGACCTAAATTAAGGTGTTCTACCTAAAAGAAAATATATGAATACAGACTACAGAAGTATCAAAATAGAATCAGATCTACTTCTGTTCACTTATTTATATCTACATTTGGATGAAAGTTTCCCTGTCAGGGCTATGATTACCCTCAATGCAGTCAGAATGTAGATACAGTCTAAATGTAGATTATGGTAGTTACCAGATGCATATCCAACAAAAGAAACCATTAGAATGTCTGCTCTATTATGCTGTCTTCAAAGTATTGCAAGGAATGACAGTTAATGCACATTTGTTTGACGTTCATGACGATACATATACATTACTATGCAGGAAAAGTTCTGACAGTGCTCAAAATAAATTCTCATAGAAGTCTGACAAAACACTGAAGAGCAAAGTAAGAGATGAGTATTCAGAATGAAGTTCCCAAATGATCAGACATGAGAAGCAAGAATAAAGAAGGTCTTCAACATTATTTTCAATCTCAGAGTGTTAAAAAGCGGAGAAAACCAATCTATGAAGCAAACAGAACTGAAATAAATCTGCCCAACCTTGAATGTGTGTGTGTTCTCTCAAAAACCTCTGAATCACTGAGCTAATTAATTAGAAACTATCACGAATGTGACAAGCAAAGAATCTCTCAAACCACCCTATGAAACTATGAGTTCAAGGTTTCCCAAAGGAGAATTTCAAACTCAAAACCTAAATAATGACTTTTATGACCTCACCACACTGTGACACAGAGTTCATCTCCTAAATATTCTCTTATGTGAGCAAAAGAAGATTTCAAAATTACTTTAGATGAAGAAAACTTTGTTATTTTGCAGCCACTGTGCTTCCAAAAGTCTAAAATGTGAAGTTTAGTATGAAAACCTCAACACCATCCTGGTGTGAAGTTTCTAACCCTACCAAACACTTCATGTGAGTTTGGCGTCAACTGCTGATTTACACATTAAATGGTGATACCCATTAGCATGCAAATTACTACTGTAAGTTCTAATCAAACTATAGACTAGGTAAAAATCTTTGCTTTGTCAAAGATTTTCTGTTCATGTGTGTGTTCGTGCAAGTCATGCAGAACCGCTGAAAAAATAACCAACGTGCACTAACTGAAGTGTAATTGTTAGGTGTCACAAAGTAAATTCAAATCTTAGTGATTACAGAAATCTTCATGAAGTGTTATATTTTAATTATCACTTAATTTAGTTAGTACATTTTCACACATTTTTCAAATTGAGGAAAAGAATTTACTACATATTGCCAGAAACTGTTAAAATATACTTTAAAAAGAAAAACACTGCAAGCATGGGAGCTTCTCTGAAGTGACACAGGATGCCATCCAGAGGGACCTGAACAAGCTCAAGAAGTGGATACATGGGAATCTCATGAGCTTTAACAAGACCAAGTGCAAGGTGCTGCACCTGGGTTGAAGCAACCCCCTGTATCAATCCAGGCTGGGGAATGAAGAAATCGAGAGCAGCCCTGCTGAGGACTTGGGGGTGCTGGTGGATGAGAGCCTGGACATGACCTGACAATGTGCACCTGCAGCCCAGAAAGACAATCATGTTCTGGGCTGCATCTAAAGCAGCGTGGGCAGCTGGGTGAGAGGATTCTGCCCCCTACTCCGCTCTGGTGAGACCTCATCCAGAGTACTGTGTACAGTTCTGGGGCTCCCAGCACACAGACCTGCTGGAGTGAGTCCACAGCAGGGCCACGAAGGTGATTAGAGGGATGGAGCCTCTCCTATGAGGGGAGGTTGACCGAATTGGGAAAATTGGGATTGTTCAGCCCGGAAAAGAAAAGGCTTTGGGGTGGCCTAATTGCTTCCTCTCAGTACCTGAAGGGAGAAGATGGAGAGGGAACTTTTTACAAGTCAGGTCGCGCCAGGAGAAGGGGGAATGGCTTCAAACTAAAAGAGAATAGGTTTAGATTAGATACTAGGAAGAAATTCTTTACTCTGAGGGTGGTGAGACACTGGCACAGGTTGCTCCGAACCCCATCCACCTTGGCCTTGAACCCTTCCAGGGATGGGGCATCCACAGCTTCTCTGGGCAACCCGTGCCAGTGCCTCACCACCCTCAGAGTAAAGAATTTCTTCCTAACATCTGATCTAAACTAGATTAGGTTGGAACCAGATGATCTTTAAAGTCCCTTCCAATCCAAGCCATTCTATGATGACATAGATTTAATAATACTTTATCCACTAAGAACTTTGTGTAATTCATTCACAATTTCCAAAAGTATTTTTACCAGGTTGTTCAACACTGAAATTTGGTTTAACTTACATAGTTAAAATAGGTCAGCTATAAGAGAAAAGCTGTCAACCAAAATGTGGTAAATGCACAGAAAATTGAAGGGCACCATAAAATAAAGATTATATCATTGAACAAGCCATCAAAAAGTTCATATTTACATTATAGACATTTTTTATTCTCAATGCCTAGGACTGTAAGATAATTACAAGCCCATAAATAGCAATTATAGCTTGATTCAAGCAAATATTTTAAAAAAGCAACAAAAACCTGATCCCACCGCCCCCAAAAAAGACCTCAACACCCATCCTTCCCAGAACAGTATCACAGTACCATACTTTAAGAAACAGATAAAGTTAAATCTTTCAGAAAACTTCTTAGAGTAGGAATATCCTCAAAATGCAAGTTATCCATTATTTTTACACTCACATTTCAAAGTGTTTAGTTCTCTTCACCTATTTAATCTTGAATTTTTATGTGTTTTTTTCAACATTTCTCATTTAGGAAATGGCTGTTAAAGGTTTTGGCATATTCACATTCAGCAGGTAGAAAGTTAAAGTTGGTTGCCCCCATTACAGAAAATGATGTTTCATGAAAAAAAAAAAAAACACAAACAAACAACCAAATACAGAACTTGTGAGAAAAAATGTCTTCTATATAGATAGGCAAAAAAGTGTTGCATTACAAGATTCAGAATCTGCACTTACTCTTTACCCCTTTCTTCCCCTTTCGTTCCTTCTTGTACTGTTCCTTCAGTTTACTTATTAGTCCCTGGTCTACATCCCAAACCTCAGCAGTTGGGGACAGGTCATCTTTGTCTACATGCAGCACATTATTAAAAGAAAAAAAATCAGCAATTGGCAATGCAAGCTGTTGGTGATTTACTGTCATAGCTGTATAAGAGCACTAATAAAGTTATTAATAGATCTTTAAAGGTGCAGTCTCAGTTTTAAGTTTATAAAAGACTGAGTCTCATTTCATACAGTTTTCCAAGGCACTGTATATTATCAGTTACATATTTGAAAATTGGATGTTAATTTGTTACCAAGGAGCAAACAAATTAGGCTTCATAAGTAACTGTTTATGTTAAATACTTCAAAATACACAACAATTCATTGGTGTTCAGAAACAATTACTGCATCTTTAGAAAGACAGTGTTAAGAAATTATTCAGCCAGTGTTGAATAAGCAAATAAAAGTATTCATGCTATATCTCTCATGAAAATGCAAGCTTGAGTAAATCAGTGCCAGTTTATTCATGAAGACAGACCACCATGCATCCTTTCGCATTCATTCTACATGCACAGGAAAAAAACCTTGGTCCTACATTTAATCAGAGAAACAAGTCTATAAATATAGTTTTTTACATAAAGATGAAGAAAAGTATTTCACACAAGTGGACATCCTACTGCATCCAGAAATCAAATCATAATTAGCAGAAATACAACATTCCACAGTAGTTTCATAAGATATATCTTTTTCTGTTTGACAAACATTGCAGAATTAATTATTCTTTGTGAAAAGTCAAGTCTCCACTTTTCTAAACTCTCCATCTCAAATATTTCTGGAAACTTAGAATTAGTAAAAAGAGAAACCTGTTTCTAAGACAAGACAAATATAACATTTGCAGAAGCACTTCTGCTAGTAGACAACTAGGCAGAAAACTTGATTTGTGTGCCAGTTTAGCTTTATGCCCACAAATTCTTTAGGCATAAAGTATTAAAACTCAGATCCTCGTTTTCAGCTTCCAATCATACCTACAATATGATTGTATCCATTTTTGAAGTTATAACCATTATAATCATAAAAGTGCACATGAGGAGTCACACACAGCAGAAACAAGGAAACATGCATTTAGGGTGCAACACAAGAGGAGTTATTCCAAGTACATGTTTCATGATAAAACATGACAACGAAGGAGCAGACAGATACCCTAGGATACTGATGCATCTACCATCATTCAAATAGGACAAAGATAGGTCAGTCTTGATTAAGATCAATATAGAAATGGCAAGGGCAGTGAAAGCATGAAACCAGCAGCATAATGGCAGAGTCCCCTGAGTTGACTGCAAAGAATTGTGGAGAGGAAAAAGGAAAATGACATCCTACACCAAACTGCAGCTACAACTACTGAACTACAAACACAAAGACCTTTATGATCTTTATGATCTCTGGGCCAAAACACTGACAGAGAGGAATAGTGATTAGTCAGGAAACACAAGAGGCACAGAGAGATAAGTCAGAGGATATGCTCAATCAAAAGAGGAAGAAAATTAAGAAAAAAACCCAAAACAACACCAAAAAACCTAAAACTCAATTAAAAAAATATTCAGTTAAAACCAAATTAAAATGAATTAAAAGAAATCCAAAGCACCATTAATAAAATGAAAATAATCAGTTAGGTTGAAGTATGGCAGAGAAGGAATTAGGGAATTAAACTGAACGAGAAGATGACGACATGGAACAGCAATGCGCTGCTGTTGTAAAAAAGTCATTTAGGTACATTTTAAAAGGTGCAGCGTATTAAAGCAGGAGTAGTCCATACATTTCAGTGCAGGTGATGACAAAATTGAAGTAACATACTCAGTCTTTGTTCTACACTAGAGGTTTGGAAATGTCTGTAGAGCGCAAAACAAATAGGACATTAAATATCAAGACAAAGAATTTGAAGGAACCGTGGGCTCATTCAGTCAACAGAGAACACGAAAAGCACAAGTCTACAAAAGAATATTCAAAACCAACACTGCTGGCTGCTGAAATGTAGGTTGAAAATAGAAAACTAGATAAAACACTAACTCTGGTTGTCTGAGGAGGCTGCAAAATGAATTCAAAACAAGGTTTTGAGGAAAACCCAGCAGTGTTTCTCCGTAGTATGCCCAGAGAAACTATCTATTTCAGAACACAGCCATGTAACTAGAAGATCTCTGTAATTCTGCTCTAACAGTGAATTTCCTCAAATTGCCTGAGTGTTTATACCTGCACTAAACTGACACCAGAACAGCACAGAGGATCCAGGATGTCCACTAACCATTGTAATTTCGTGGAGGAAGGCTGGTTTGAATTTGTTTTTATTGGGCATTTGGGGTTTTTTTAAGTATTTAGAAGATGACCCAAGAGACTCTGAAGTTCAGTCACACTCTGCCTCCCAGAATTCTGAGCACAGTCAGTCATTCTCTGACTCATGGTTCAACTGCACACAGAACTTGGGTGTTTCATGGAGATGAGAAATCCAGAGATGAACACACAGTTAGTCTTTGAAACCATAAGGAGAACAAAAAGACTATAGAATACGTTAAATCTGTAACACCTAGCACAATATATAATAATATATATTTATTCCTTTTTGCTTAAGCAAACTCAAGTTATATATGTATTTTTTCTTTATAATAAATCACTACAAGGTATTTATAAATTTTTCAATCTGAAACTGTACATTTTTTTTTTAGTGTGTCACATACATTGACTTTTCATTGAACATTGCTTGAACTTGCTCATCTTTCACTATTTTGAAGATAAGCTGTTCCTAAGTAAAATGTGTCACATGACAGGACACATTAAATTGCAATGTTTGAAATTAATTTAATACTCAAAGTATGTTAACTGAGGCACTTACAAAAAAGAATGTGTTCATAAAAAGCTGTACTATAGGAAGAAAAGAACCCAAACTTCCCAGTGCTCACCAGCTGGTTTGCAGAAGTCTCCAAGAGCAAAAATATAACTACTCAATTTGGCGATGAAACATTTCAGCATATTTGAAGTTAGATCTACAGATAATACTTTGGCAGATAAATATTAAAAATATTAATAAAGGAAGACTAGGCAATATGTTTAGTCTAAAGATCAGAAGTTTGGTTTCCAGATACTAAATAAAAGCATTATAAATAGAGATGTAAACATTTACATTTTTTTCAGAGTGCTTAAACTTTTGCAAGAGAAGGATGCTAATCACAGGAAAACTAAAACAGGAAGAAAGAAAAACTATGAAAACAGAATATAGCAACTATTAAATTGTGAAGAAAAATTTGAATTTTAACCAATACTGATGTGCATGGCTGATGCAGTTGTTTAGAGAGTTATGGTAAATATTCATTTAAATTAAGTTCCCCCTCAAAACAAACAACTAAATGTACAGACCTAGAGATTTCCAGTAACAACAGCTTCATAAAGTTCCAATTAATGTGACAGGCTAAAATAAATTGGTTTAGGCAATTTATTATTTTAGAAAGCATTTAAATGGGACAATATTTAAAATGTTATTTGTGGTAGTTGGTAAAGAAGCCTTGTCATATTTACACTCTGATCTTTAAAAAAGTAATGCTTTAACCCCAAGATCTGATAGACCGTATCCTCAAACATTCATTTATGAAAAGAACAGTTGTACTAAAATCAGTGACATAATGTGAAAAAAACATTGTTACTACAGTTAGAAGTATGTCTTTGACTCATTTAAACAGTAAGTTTGCAGAAAATAAACAATAAACTTATGGATATTGTCTTCATATGGCAAAGCTTAAAACACATACTTAGAAAGGTGAAAAGTAGGTATATATTTTATTTCTTCCTTCCCACTTCCTTGTCTGAGACACGATTTTTTTGGTAACAATGGAATGAACTACATTTAAGTCAGTTGTCAGTTTTGCTATGGGTTCACTTAAACTGTAAGAAAAGACATTCAAACTGCTCTATGAAAATTGTGGTGGGTCAATTTGACTTTTAAAATAGACACTGAAAATAAGGTAACTATCTGAGAAGATGACAGAGATAGAACACACTGGAAAGTAATCTTGGGAACAATGACTTGGAATTTCAATGGACAAGATAGTTCAATAAGTTTCATCAGTCTGCTGTGGCAAAAACGGATAAATCTTTTGACTGCATGAATTAGAGCATCAAACAATCTTTCCTTTTATATACAATAGCAGTAAGACTGATGTTAGAACCAGAACATTCTACATCACTATGTATTTGAAGGAATGTTGCAAACAAAGTAAAAAAACTTGGATTCAGGTTCTTATACCAAGCCTATGTGCCTAAATAAAAAGATGATCAAGAAATGGATCAAATAACAGCAACGTCAAAGAGGATCAACACCAAACAACCAAAATTCTACTAAAAATAGACAGTTATTACCAAAACTAAAAGGTAACAGTTTGTTTGGCTTCATTTTCCAACTAGAAATAAGATGGAGTTTTAAAAATAAAGGTGACTAACCCTTAATACTAGTTTTCAGGAAAGAATGTTTTCTACTCCTTGATACCTTCAAAATCAAGACTGGATTATTTTCCTGGAACATGTGCCATTATTTTAATTTCTGTAGATCTTTATATTCTCTTTGCTCCCTGAGGTGTTTACTGAAGTATGACTTCATTGCCTCAATGACGCAAAATGGTCAAACATGATCTTGTGGTATTTTGGGGCTTACAATTAAAGACTCAGAGTATGAAACTACAAAATTGTTTGTATCACAGTTCAGAAATTAACATTTCAATTTACCATGTAAAGGCAGATATTAATTATGCGGGTCACTTCTTTTTCCTACACAAATTTTCTCCTTTCAGTTTATTCTTTTGAAACGTGTAGGTTACAAGAGTTTCTGACTTAACATATTTTGTTTCACATCAAATTACTAGTAAAAAGTTGGGCTATTACAAAAGTTTGGGGTTTTTTTTATTAATGTGAGCCATATAAGCAACAACATCTAAAAATCTCAGCGAGAAAAACTAAAAATACCAATGGTCCATATTTCAAGTACACCAAAGAAATTAATTTATGTACAAAAAGTTTAAAAGTCCTAATAAGAAACAAATAGGAAAAGCAAATCTAATACAGGTATAAAACCATTCAGAATCCTAGCCTTTCTTATCTAAGAAAGAAAATATTCTCATCTTAGTTTTGGAATTGAAAACATACCCTTAAACAAATACAACTAAACTCATATTTGTGGCAACTACGACAGCATACATATATGTGTATATATATATATGAAAGTTTCAGTATACAATACACCATTTTCTAAGCATTAACATTTGAACATCACAGTCATCCACACATCCACACCATTTTAGCAGGTACTGTAAATCTTATCATGAACAACTATTCCCTTACTCCTAAACGCTTTTGATAGCATCTTACCCCACTCTGTTCCATCTCCTGAACTTCGAGCTTCTCCAGCTCCCTCACCATCTTCAGCTGTCACTAGAAAGTCAAATTCTTTCAAAGCTTCTTCAGTATCAGGGTCATCTGTAAGGTCAGCAGCTAAACCTTCATTACCAATCTGCAAGCAGATAAACATTTTTCTGCATTCGAATCATGAATAGATTTTCTAGTCATTTAGGTTAGAAGAGACTAGATACTCTTGTTGAGTATCTAGTCTCTTCTTGTTGAGTTGCAGAGGAAAACATTTTTCAATGTGAAATGCAGAAAAAGACACTTAGATTTCAAGTTATTAAAAAAAAAAGAGAGTACTGCAGTCTAGTGATCATTAGGAAATAAAAAGAACACTGACACTAGCTTTAGCAACAAAAACAATCCCATTCATCCCAGTCTCCATTTTTTTTTATTCAACACGTAACAATTAGAAAATTTTGTTGATTTTCTTGCTTTATCAATAGGTCTAGAGAGAAGCCTTACAAACAAACTCTGCCTTTTATTGGTCAAGGAGCCTTTTTCCCTTTTTGCTTTCCAGTTCTATTTCAGTTTTAATCATAAATTTGGAAAAGGAAGCGTTTTAAGACAAGTGGTTTTTTTACCATTTCTACCATATCTTCACCTTCAACAAAACAAGTAAACCCCCTGCCAAGGCATCAGTGAAAAGTTTTATTTCATTCTTCAAGTGAAAAAAAGTTCCACGTGGGGTTAATCTTCTATTATTTGCACAATATTCTTACTTCTGCAGAAAGAGACTATTTTTATAAATATATTTTTAAAATATAAATATAATTTATAAACTATAAATGGTCCTTTTGCTTTCTATAAAAAATCAGGTTTTATAAAAAAAACCAAGTAGCAGCATAATATCTTCATATGTGCTAAGAGATTTACTTTCTAGGTAATCTTTTTATCAGACTATCTACTGCCTTAAAACAAAAGAGATTCAACTGATTGGTTGATTAATCTGTTTACCAGAAGTAAAAGTTAATACCAAAGTTATGGTGGAAACTCCTTCCTGACAAGTCAAGCTGGGACATGAACACTTGCATCAAGCCAAGCTAATGCTGCCAACTGTTTAAGAAAATCCAAGGCAGTCAGAAGGTCATCATGCTACTGAATACAGTTCTTTTTACTGTAAAAAGTAATAAAACTGTCAGTACAACATTTGTAAATCAATGTTTTTACAAAAAGAAACCCCAAAGACAAGGAGGCTTTTGGTACAGGACAAAGACCTAAAATAGGACAGGGAAGACGGTGTATCCTACCTAGAAAGCTGCTAACAGAATGCAAAACTAAAGAGAAAAATAAAGCTGAACAAAATTTACTGAACTTTAAATAAAAGGTGATTTGAGATGAGTCTCTGCCAGGCTTTTAATCTATTTAGTAAAAAACTGCCTAAAAGGAAGTTTTAAACATGTATTTGATGTGGAAGTAATTTTTTTTCACATTAAATAACTTTCTTTTCTCTAAGGAATTGTCTCTACCTTCTCCAAAATTCAGAAAGGAGGCACATTGTATTGTGCTAAATTTGCCTCATAAAGGGACTCAGAGTATGGAGAGAAGCTGAGATGGCCAATTCATCAATTAATTCACATTTGCAAATTCACATTTGTGAACAGGTTGGTTGGTTGTTTTTAATTTTTCTATGTAATATATTAAATAAACCACCAAATTTACTAATAACATATCTGCTCACAATCCATTCAGTTAACAAAGGTGCAACAAATACTTTAACGTCACACATTTATATCATCTGGGGGGAAAAATAACCTTTTCAAAAGAAATCAGATCTATTTAAAGAAAAAACAAAATAAAAGATTTTTTACTTTGTGTTTCTTATTTATCCGATGCTTTTCTTTTCCTTCTGCAATATCTTCTATCATGTCATTCTCCTCTTCTTCATCACTATCATCTGCATTTTCTAAGAAGTTAAATGTTTCAAGAACATCACCAGAATTCCTACGTAATTAAAAACATTAAGAGAATCTGTTTTATTTGCTGAATAGATTTAGAAGATTATCCAGATTAAATGAAATTGCTACCTGACAGCTTAAGAGCTTTAAAGCTAGCAAAACAAGAAACGGTTGTATGAAGTAGTTTCTACAGCTGCCTATGTCCTTATTACAAAAGCACCACTCAGCAGAATCTTTCCTTAAAATAACTCCAAAATGTATACATGACATAATTCAACTTCAATACACAATTTTTCTGTATATATTAGTATAACATCCATATATGTACATAATAGATGTACATGTTCCTATGTATAATCAGTTTAAGTTCATAATCATATATGGTCAGCTACACTCACAGGTGTTCAGAGACTCTCCAACTGAAAGTTCAATTTGCACTGACCAATGATTAAGGAAAACCAATTTATGCATTTATTATCTCTTCACTTACCTTTTGATTTCCTGTCCCTTTTGTTTTGATGAAGGAGATTCTCCACCGTTCAGGATCTGTTCTAAGTTCTTTGTCTCTACTGAACCATTTGGTTCTGAATTGGAGAGCCCAAGCAAAGACCTTACCCTCTGTGAGCGTACATCCAATATTGTATCTGTATATCCTACTTCCTGAAGATACCTAGTTGCATTCAGAGAAGAAAGAAAGAGGAAGGCATATCTGAGAAAAAAGGAAACTTAGTATTCACTGTTAGAAATGAATGCCACTATTATATCACTTACTGAAAAGCAAGTTTCATTGCTATCCATCTCACACAGAAAAACTTACTCTATACTGCTAAAAGCTCAACACTATGAAGTCCTAGGAAACAAACCACTCTTTGCACACCTCAACTACCCTGTTACACTGAGTAAGCCCATATACAGCTCCTCATCCTGCAAAAAGAGTTTGAATACACCAATATTCAACAATGTTACTTACTGTCGCAGTAACTGTCTGCCTTGCTTCCAGGTCAATTGGCTATTTTGAGGTACTGCAGGAACCTCTGTATCTTTGGTATCTTCTGGAAGATACAGTGTCATAGTTAACATTTAACTTACAATGCTTTCAAACACAAAAATTCCCATCAAACAAGAAATACAAATCATGATCTCTGGTTTCAACTGGGTATAAAAGTAACCAAAATGTGGCACTTATAAAAGAGAAGGGGAAAAAAAAAAAAGAGAGGGGTGTGGTACATAAATCTGTAGACCACAACTTTAGGGCATACTATACAAGTACAGGCCAAAAGTGTAACTTCCCAAAGATCAACATTTCAAAAGAAGCCAAATGAAATCCTGCTTATTAAATAGCCCAGTATTGTTATGAGAAATGCTTTCCTCTATCTGCAATACTGTGAAGAGCAAAACTGTTACTATCAACTTGATATTTACAATGCAAAATCAAATGCACTCCAGAGGAGCAATAAAGACAACTTATTTTTTCCTCTTTGGAGTTTTTCCCTTAATTTAAGATAAAAACACTCAGAGTTCCTTGAAAAAAGGAAAAGTCAATTAATTGCGATTTTTAGATTAAATAATATTTAGCCAATGCCAAATTTTTCCTAGATATATTCTCTATAAGACATTTACAGGAGAGTTGGGGGAGAGACAGAAAGCTGCAATAAGTTGAACAGACCAAATCTATTGTAAGAAACTTACCTGATTCAAAAGTTGGCATTTTCAAGTCACCTTGGTTCAATTCTGTGCCATATTTTAATTTATGATATTTTGCCCTGAAAAAGTATGCAGATGTTTAACAAATTAGCACACAAGAATTTGAATAACTCAAAACAGTCTACTATTCTCATTTAAAGCAACCATACCAACACAGCATAATTAATCCAAATAAAACTCTTGTGATAATTATTGCATCAAGCAATTATTTATAGTCTTCCTAGAACACAGCTTCAAGATAATATTTTTACAATTATTCACAATTATCAAATTACCTATAGATGAGAGTTTAGTATGTATTCTCCAGGAATGTGTGGTTTTCCATGTAGATCAGCTAATAAGAGAAGCCTTCAAAAAACAGGAGGTTCAGCTATCTAGTAGAAATGATTTTCCAGTGGTACCACTGTCACAGGTAGGCAATCACACTACAATGAATGAAGCTCTTGTTTGGGATTCCTGCCTGCCACTTTCAGTTTCCACTTCCATTTCCCTCATGCTCTTTCTTTGCTTATGATACATATCTTTCTCTCTGAAAAACCATGTTGGAGTGCTAGTTACTCTCATCACATGTATTCTCTCACTGATTTTCTCCTCCTCATTGACTGGAGCCTTAGCTTCCAATTCTTGCTTAGTTCATCTATACAAATACACCTCACTTCTTCCCATCTTCTGATCTCTGATACCATAACCCTAACCTCTCCTTTCCATCCCTTCCTAAAAAATTGGTCTTGGTGATACTATTTCCATGGAGGTATACATAAGCCTACAAAATCATCTTCTCTACCCAAGTTGCATATCAAAATGTCTTCAGCTCCCTTTACTTCCAAGAACATAATTTGAACTATCTACACCTATATCCTAGAGTTCTCAAACTTTAACACTGATCTTTCACAGTTTAACTTTTGCTTCAGACCCTTTGCAAAAATGCTCAAAATCTGAGGGTAAAGAACTCTAGATGTTCTGCAGTAGAACCAAAGGAAAAAATCTCTGTAAAAACATTAGAAGCCACATTTTAAAGAAGTTTGAAATACAGTTGTCTTTTTAATTCTAAATGAAACATTTGACCAACATTTTAAAAATAACTGAACCATACTTATCTCCCAGCAAGTTGAAAGACTACTCTTGAATATGAAAATTCTCAAAAAAAGATACATAATGGGACATGTGCTATACAAAATCAAGGACTTCGAAAAAAACTTCTCAAATGGCTGAGCCACTACTGCAAGTGTTTCTAAATTGAAAGTAGAGGTACATCTCAAATGCTGCCTGATATATTTGATGGTATTGATGCCTTTGAATTTTCAGGATTTTTAGGATTTTTCTAGATTTTAATGTAGGTATATAGTTTGACACACTTTAGAATTTATTTAACACTCACCAAACCCTATTCCCCTATTTCATATCGAATTTTCTAAATTCTTTAGGCTTGTTTAGGCTCCTTTCAAGGTAGAACTGTAGTAAATACCTTCTGTTTAAGGACATTTGCACCCCAGGCCTGAACAAGATACCATCATAGTCAAAGCAACTTCAAGCCCAGAACCTTCAGAGAAGCTCTAAAGACAGTACGTGCCATGACGAAGAGGAAGATGAGGAAGAAAGGTGTCTTAGGACCTCCGACTCAATTTTTGTGGAGGTGTGCCTGGGGGGCAGATTGGGGGCAGGTGGATCTTGGAGCAGACGATTAACTGTGGAACCCCTGGACACAGGTGTGTGCTTTTCATACTCCTTGAGCCAGAAGGTCTTCATTAAAGAGCTGCTCTCTATCTTACCTACACTAAATTTGCCTGGAGTTTTTTCTGTTCCCCATCTTTAAGACAAGAGTATAGAAGATTTTCTTTTAAGTTACACAAGTGTCTCCTAAAATTGCAAATAGGAAGTCTCACTGACAAACTGTCAGCAGATGGCACTATTGACCCTTTCTAGTAAGATAAAATCCCTCATTTCATGGCAATCACATTGTAACTGAAAAACTGTGAGGCTCCTGAAGACTTCTGAGTGACCTGAACCTGCCTGTCAATTAAATAGAATCGTATTTTTTAATTATTTATGAATAGGTTCATAGCTCATCCATGCTCTAGTAAAGACTGTCTGCTCCAGGTGCTCTCTTTAAGCTGAGACAAAGCTTTGTGCCACATGGTAATAGGGCAGTGTTCCACCAAGCTTTCCAGATATGGAAAGTACATACTATGATTTATATGCCCTATAAAGTATTGTATATTTAGGGGTAAAAAACCCCACAAAACAACCCTAAATAACGAAAGCGAAAATAAATCAAGTTAAATAAAGATGACAAAATATTTTTTTCTCAATTCATAAGTGAAGCCAATAAAGCACTGTAATTGAAAAGCCAAACTAAATTTGTTCAACTTAGAGCTGTGGCAACATTATTTAGGAGCAGTAGCTCTATTTTGGAGTTAGAACTTCAAAACATTAATTAAAATTCTACTTTGTTGATTAGAGCAGATAATGATGTATCTGATCTAAAATTATACAAATTACTAGCCACTACAAATAAACCAAAATATTGCTGCAGGCAATGAGATCAGTTGTGTTTCACAACACAACTTCAATTTCACAGCAAGAAATTAATATGATTTAATTCCAATAAGCGATATATTCACATATCTATTCCTTTTGTATGGTCACAAAAACCAGTCATTATTATATTCCTTCAAACACACTAACAAGCTACAGTGTTCTTGACAAGTCACTGGCATTACTCTTCCACACCACACAGTAACTGAATTCTACACCAGACAACTTTTGAATCCTTAGAGTATTGACTTATCTAAGACTAGGTTTCCATGAGAGAAAAAGTAAAAAGAGAAAAAACAATGCCTTAAGCTGATTTAACTGCTTTCTGCTACTTAGCTGCTGAAGCCTATTTAAAAGGATGTAAGTTAGCTCCAGTTCAAAGCCCACAAAGCCAAAACACAGCCCCAGTTTTATGATTTCAACTAGTCTCATTAAGTTAAGCACAGCACTGCGGTAATGAAGCTTGGGGTAGAGTGCTCAGAGCACACAGCAGACAATATCTTGCCGGGTCTGCAAAGCACCATAAAGGAATATATACTAGCTACAAACAAAAAAATCCCACACATATAACTACATAGGACCTAATTTTATAACTAAAAAAATTATACTGAACTACTGAAGCATTTCAGGACACTAAAATAATAACATTTTAGTTCTCAAAAACATTATTACACATACTTAGACATAAATACTAGAAATATCAAGCTATTTTGCATTTTATTTAATCCTACACACTGACGTTCAATTTCATATCCTTTTGCTGTAAAGTCACAACAGTTGATGTCCAAATTAGTTTGTTCCTGATTCCTAGTGATATTTCACTGCATGGCACTTTTTGATAGTGTGGAGTTAGCAATAAGAAAAGGAGAAAGAGGGTGGGGAGGAATCAGGTGCAACACTGAAATTTGCTGTCAACAATTTTCGGTTCGGAAATTCTCAAACTCTGTTTTGTTTTGGAACGTGTATTTTCATTAGCTGTGATTCTTCACTCAGAGGAACAATGGCAAAAAAATAACACGTGTTATCCTGAAAACTGAGTGTGACAAGCAAGAAATCAACATAGAATCATTCTTATATGATTTACTAACAAGTCAGTACCTGCTTGCTTTCCTTACTCAATCCATCATACTTTCACAGTTAGATCCCCTCAAATTACTAGGCATCTGTAGCTTCCTCATTGCCACCCACACACTCAACAATCAACATAAGTTTCAGTTCCTGTTTCTAGCAATCTCCATAAGATTTCTAGCTAGAATTTATGCAAGGATCTTAAAAACTATGCAGTACTCGCTTGTACCCACTAGCCACAAAAACTAAAGCAAATGGCGTGATTCTGCTGTTCTGCTTCCAGTGTACGTTTACAAGTTTCTTGCCCATTGGATAAATTTTGGATTTTCATGGGAAAACACACTATAAAGGCAGCTGCATTTCAGGAGAAAGCAGGAATACTGTTTCACCAATGCCAATAATCTCCAAATTGTGCATCTTGTTGTATGATGCCTTCACACTACAGCTCTAATTACCAGCCCCTGATTTATCTCAATAAGCAGGCAATCCTCACAGCCTCACGGTGTGCACTTGCAGAAAGTCTCTGTGCAGCTCATAGTTTATTATTGCCAAAATAACAAAAATCTTTTCCTTCACCTTCATACAGTTAATTATCTCCAAGACACTTGGGTCTGCCATAACAGCATATTGTTTCTTTGATATGCTCGATGTTCTTTATAGGAGGAGTAGAAAAACCCCAACACTCTGCATACATCTCATCTGCCTTGAATCCAGACTGTCTTGCACATTACCTGTTTGATATAACAACGTAAAACTTTCAATCTTATACTGGTTGGAAACCTTGAGCTACTTTCCATTACAAGGACAGGGCTGAATGAAATAATGGATCCTTTCTGCCTACTACTTCACCAGAAAAGACATGATGTGTTGATATGGCTTTCTGTATGAATACACAGTTTTCTGAAGCACCTTTACACAGGACAGTTCACACAGAAGAATGCAGCCATCACGCCAAAACATTAGTTTCTAATATAAAAACAACTGGAAGTTATTTCTGAACTAGTCACTTGCTCATAGTACTGATGTATAATGTAAAATATATTTAGATATACTTATGCTTGGATAACTAACTTAAAAATGTCTAGGTGAAGCCTCTCTAAACTTTGATATAAAATTTTAAATTTATTCTGGCAGGTATGTTCCCCTGAAATCAAAATAAAAAAAGAAACCTATTTTGTTGCCTGATCCTCAAGTTGCTTCCCTATTGGGTTCAGCTACTTTTTAAGAGCAAGATAAAATTAAGTATAAGAACCGAGTCCACTACTGAAAATATAGGCACCTGACAAGACTATTTTCCTAGTGTTTTTGCAAAATTAACTATCGATTTTGGTCAAATGAAATAACCTGGTAACAAAAGAGCACGTAGGTTTGAAGGACAGTTACCTGCACAGACTGAATGGAATTTTAACCTTTAAAGCATTAAATTAATGCATCTACTGAGACTAAACATGCTTGTGTCTACCTTATGACAAAACAATACTTCAAAATGCAAAATCAACTTTTAAAGGATTCTGTTCTGTCACAAAAATCCAGTTTTCATCATGTAACACAAAAAAAAATACTTGAAAGGGATTAAGAGAACAGTATTTTTTTTCCTTTCAAATTCAATTGCTCTGAAGCACAAGTAAAGGTATAGTGGTAAGGTATAAATCTGTTCTGCATGTTCATTCTCTAACTCAGAAAAAGGAAACTGTCCAGTTTGTTTAAGACACGAGTCCAAACATTTTGAAAATTATACAACTTTTTATTATAGTTGACACTAAAGTTTGTCAGAAAACACAGCGTAAAGATGACCAATGATAAAAACAGGTTACATAAAGGAACATAAAATCATCTAATAAAGAGAGTTCACTTAATGTGACAGAATTCCTTTAAGTCGGTAAAGTTTTCCAGGTCAGAAAAAAGCTGAACAATTCGTATACCTACCTTTCTTGTTTTAATGCATATTCTAACATTTTTATTCTTCTTACTAAGTCTTTCTTCAAATTTTCTTGACCCTTTCTTTCCCCTTGTAGAAATGCTATCCGAGCCTGAAAACACACACACACACAAAAAAGAGAAACAGATTTTATCCATTGTATTCCCAAAATAAAACAACCAAGTCTGGTTCAGAACGAAAAAGAAAAAAAAAAAAAAAAAACAAAACCAACTGTTCTGCATTAATTACTTCATTGAGCCAATACCAACAAAAATATTCCTGCCCTAGACACTATTATTTTCATCATTTTAAGATCAACAGGTATGAGTTTGTACAGTAACCTACAAGAAGGCACAAACAGCAATCTTATTAAACATTTTAATATATGCACACATTTTTGTCCTTGCAGCATTTCTAGCATAAATTCCATTATACATTTTCTTCCAAACCCAAAGCCATATTAAATTAGGTACACAGCAACTAGAAATTTAGCTTTTAATGCAAACCTACTGAACGGATTAAGAAATCAGTACATGAATTCATATACAGAATTTACAAATCCATTGTACAGGAAACAACTATTTTATGGATTCACACTTTACTTACTACTGAAGACAGCTGAAGGTTAGATTATCAAGGTAGAAAGATTATCAAGTGTGCTGTTGTATATTGGGAAAAATAATGCTATGTTTTTTTAAAGCATCAATCATACTACCCACCTAATTTAAAAAGAAGCAATGAAGATGTCTACTTGCCTGTTAACCTAGTAGCTAATAATAAATTCAGCAGAACATACAAGCCACCTCATCAAACTTTAAAGTAGTTGAAAAATAAAGGTAGTAAGTTTGTTCAAAACAAAAGTATTCTCTTCACTACAAAGTGAAAAGACTTGTGTTTTGACTTTTGCAAGCCAAAATCCTAGGTAAGATAAGGGAAACTGCAGGTGTGAACACAAAATTTAAACAGTCAATGATACTACTGGATTGGTCATCATTACACAGACTCATTTGTGCTCATTATGACTCTACACTGACTGAAGCCATTGGGTAGCTCACTACAAGATTAGATATAAAATTTCCTTGGAAGAGGTATTTAAAAAACTAGAATAAGGAAAATAAAGTAGAGACCACATTGCTCTACTAAGCTCAAGAGTAATACCACAATTTCATTATTAAAGGAGGCAGGGGAAAGTGCTATAATCCATACCTAAGATATCCTTGGAGTTTTTTTTTTTAAAGGAGTGGTTGTACATTTTCATTACTCAGAGGTTACAGCCCGAAACAGTCTAACCAGGATGGTAACATTCTTGCATCGTTCCTTTCTTGAGACTAAGTGATATCATCATACAAGATTTCACATATGAGCCCTGATTTTAGCCCCTCTGACCTTGTGCTCAATGGTGAGACAAATTAAAATGGGTTCCTTTAACTTGCATTAGTTAAGTGATGATTTAATCAATCAAAATCCTAGTGAGAACAAGGCAGTTTTGAGTATTTCAGTTAAAAGTCTGTCATGAAAGTATTCTCAACTAACCACTGTCACTCGGTAAGAAACAGTAATTTACCAAACAGTGTTTGGTAATAAAGGAGAGGTTAAGGAACAGGGCTAAACAACATCAACCCCACACCAAAAAAAAACCAAACCAAACCAACCAACCAAACAAAAAACCAACAAACAAACACTGAAACACACTTCATACTGATTGCACAGATATTTCAAGATAAAAAGGTAGGGATCAAGATCCAGAATCAGAAAACCCAACTATATTCAACGGCAATTACGTTACTTAGATTCTAAAAACACTACAAAACTGATTCTAACCAAATACAAAGTTAACAGCCTTCGGCAGAAAGTTACAATTACACATAACTTGTACTCCCTAAATACCTAAGGCAGCAAAAGACCAAGACAATTTCACAAGCCCAACATGTTGTTATGTAAATAACAAAGTACACATAAAATACTTACAAAGGTAGGGTTTTTTGGAAGGTAACGTGTTACACACACGTATGCACAACACTGTACTTCAAATATTTGGAAGTTACTGGCTGCCCACAAACTCTTCCTACAAAAATAAACCCAGAACTAAATACTTAAATAATTATCTAATAAAGGTTATAAAAGCTCTTCTGCCCCTTGACTTGAATGCAATTCTCAACTTCTTCCAAACTTCAGGTCTTCTGTAAGTGCTAGTTTTCTCCTCTTTCATTAGTCTTCTTTCAGTGGCCAACACCCTCTTATAACTATCTGATAAATCTTAGTTGCCAGATGCAACTGTTGGGCCTTATTTCAACCTTAGAGGGGAAAACATTATAATTATGATCATACACAGAGGGAGGCATCTGCTTCCTAAAGGCTCGCAGCCAATGGAAATACTTCTGGAGTACTTGGCCAAGCAGAATCAAGTTTCCATATTTAAAAGCTATTGCCTAGATCTCATACTTTTCAACCAGATAGGTTAATGAGCTAAGTGATCTTGAGAATTAATATACTACAGAAATAATGGTACAGAAACAAAAATAACCCAAAATCCACCCTACAAAAAAACCTCAAAAGAACAACAGTATTTATAATAATCTTTACAGGGTCCAGTAGGTTGAACAGAAAGGTTACCACAAAACACACTTTGTAGTTAAGGTTTTGACATTTTTGTCAATATTAGCAGACTTCTTCTATCATTGCTTTCTATAATTGCTTGGATATACATTTGACTGATTTTAGGATTTATTACTTTTTTCTCATTGTGACCATCACACGGCTAAAATGTAATAGAAGTTATGAGCTCAATATTTAGAAATACTAAAATCAATTTCAACTTGAGGAATACTTAGCTATCAAAACCTTCAATACAAAACCAAGAATCAGGTCACCAAAAATTTGCTGTATAAATTAATCAACTTGCTCCCTTCAGTCTGAACTGAGAAATCAGAGATGTCAAAACAACACACTTGATGCCTGACTATGAGCCCTAAGAGTTAACACACAAATTTCCCAACATCTTCTTTTCTGAAATGCAGTAAATCTAAGGGTCGATATAAACAGATAAAGCAAACAGATCAGTTTCCCTCAGGGGTACTGTACTTAGGTTCCATACACAAAGACAGATGCTTAAGAAATTATCTATCTCTACATAATACAAATTTCACAATCCTTAGATATTAATTTTCTTTGAACCAATTCTCAGGAGAGCTAGATTCGATATGATTTGTAAATATACCGATGATTTAAGATTGTCTAGCACAAAAACTGGGAAACAAAATGGTAAAGAAGCATTTGGTCTCACCTTTTCACCCCACCCTCCCCAGTTACAACAGAATTCTTTCCATTGTCTCACACCCATTTCTAAGTCCCCAGGTTGATACTACGATGAGCAATCCTCCTCCTCATACTGCTATTCCTTCTGCTGTGCTGATCGAGCTACTTGTGTTGACATATATCAAGTCTACCGAGGAAATCATCCTATTTATTTTTTACTCAGTTCTGAACTACATCAGTTTCCTGATCCTACTCTGTATAGCCATGGGAGTACTCAGGCTAGCACAAGGGATGCAAACAGGATACTGAAGTAACAGCTCTTTTCAGGGACAACATGGTCTTAGATCAGCCTAAACTGATACGATACCGTAACGTGCATGTCCAGGGCACAAGAGTTGCAAAAACAAGAGCAGAAAAACTATGAAAGTCAAATACAATACAAGTCTTAACTCTTTTGAACTGAAAATTCAATCAAAATGCATTTTAAAAAGTGTAGTAACAAGGACATTTTTTAAGGAGAAGAAAACATGCTCTTTTACACAACACATAATAGCTCTGCAAGCAAAAATATGGCCTTTCATGGGTTAAAATCCAGCTGTATTCAGCTGTGTGCTGATTCTGTTAGAATATTTTTCACTGCAGATAAGGGTTGTACTTCACATTCTTCAAAGCCCAATCAAGAGTCTTATTTTCAGGGCAGGTTCCTTCTTTTCTACCACCCTGTAAATTTCCAGTGTTTTCACAGATCCCTGGGATTCACTGTTTCTACAAAATTGACGTTTAATAACTCCAGTCTCTCTCTACACCTTGCCCCTCAGCTGTGAGTACCACCACACAAACTTGCTCAGCTTTATTATGAAAGTGAATTCAGGCAGCTTTGAGAAGTAGTCAGAGTGACAGATAGTTTGTATTTGTGCAAGGATGCATGAAATAATGCCTGAAACTAGGCAAGATAGAATTCAAGGATAAAAAGAATTACTGAATAGCTACTTGAACAGTATGGATCCCATGAAAAACAACTGTCTGAGGTTTAAAAACTACAGAATGAACATACAGAAAAGAACATGTAAAAATTCTAACATCTAATACTTTAGACTTTGTAAACTTAGCATTGTTTTAATGGCATGTTGCATTTCAGACATACATGCATTTTGGAGTTGGAAAGGTTTTTATCTTTTAAATAGCAAGTCTGATGATATGCAAACCAAGCAACAGTCTTTCACCCAAACTCTAAAATCTCAAACAAGAAACTGAAGTTTCCCTTAAATGACAGGAATAATTAAAATCACTGATTACATTGATAGTCCACATCCCTAGTATGCAATTACGCTGTTTGATCAAAGTGTAACAGAAGACTTAAACTAGTTTACTAAATTACTTATACATAACTTTCGATTCTTAAAAGTACTTCATTTCATACAGAAGCTCATAAATCAAAATTTAAAGAAAAAAAAAAAAAGTGTCCTGAGAAAAAAATGAGGATTCCCCCCCCCCTTCTTTCGAAGGAAACTAGAGAGGTCTTAGAACTTCAGAATTATTGCTCTAAATTTCATATCCACAGCAGAATTCATATTAAAACTACACTTCATTGCTTTAACTCCATAGAAAAGACTGACAATCCTCACACTGAAGTTATTACAGCATTTTGGGTAGGTAAAATTGCATATATAGTTATTATATAAACTTTTGGTTATGATATCCACATAGGATTTCATAGTCTTATTTTACTAATAAATCCTGACATGCAGTATTTGAAATACTTGTCCAACATCTCAAACCTAGTGAAACACATTAAAGGGAAAAGGAGGCAGAAAAGAAACCTGGATAGTAAAGGACTGATTAAAAGTCTTATCCTAT